GGGGCGGGGGTGGAGGCGGGGTTCGAAAGAACCCCTCTTTTTGCCGGGTAAAAATCCCCTCAGGGAAAAATTTTATCTAGGTACACGAAGGTTTCATGGTGAAAGGTCCACTTTTTCATAAAAACAAAGAACCCCCTTTTGAAATTACTGGCTACGGGCCTGCATGATTAGGCTCCTACTACACGGCACTAGTTTACTTAATAAGAAGCGCTGGGAAATGAATAAGGGTAATAGCAGTGAGACTGACTCGTTGCAAAAATAAAAAAATAAATAAAAAAAATAATAAAAATAATACTAAAATGAAAAATAAAAAGTAATTATATAAGCCACTAAAATTGTGATAACTTCAAAAAAGGAAATTGCGGCTGTTCGCAATCTTTGAATGCGGTCTCAATTAACGGTGCTTTCGCACATACTAGTCCAATATAGACATTTGCCCAGAAAATATTGTTAATGCTGGTCAGTTTGACATGATTTAGTGGACATGTTATGGATGGAAAATATTTCTCTTTATTTCCCCCTCAAATAGACCTATTTTTAAATAATTTAAAATTTTAGATTCTAATAAGTTCTTTCGCTAATTAGTTACTAATTATAAAATGCGATACAGTTGTAGGCATCCATCATTAACTTTGAATTATATATGGACTCTATCTTATCATTTAATCTTGTACGATATGCACAGTGTATAACTTAATTGAGATATCCTAAGCAGTTGATGTTGCGATGACAGCGGATACAACAACAACTTGATAATATACCCTATGGACCGCCCACATTTCTTCCTCTCACTTCCCCCTTCTCAACCTCTCTCTCTCTCTCTCTCTCTCTCGTGAAAAGTAATCAAACAACTTTTGAACGGAAGAGAGGTTTTAAATAATAAATGGCTGGTGCTAACAAGGCCGTTTATCGGATGTAACCATCGATTGCGCCACAGTTTACTCTCCCTTATGCAATGTGACAAACCCAGGCCGATTAAAATTCATCGATTGTGTACGGTTATGATTCCCACAGGTATAAAAAAATAGAAAACGGGTCGCACGCAAATGCGCATGTATTCCCATTGCAATTAATGCCGATTGCATAAGTTCAATGTTTAATGGTCTTTTGTGTTATAAGCCGATCTCACTTATGTTCCAAAATGCAGTTGACACAAATTGACTCTCTCTCTCTCTCTTCAGTCAATATTTTTATTTGATTCATTTTATCAACCTTTTACAAAATTTTAATCACAATTTTCTCAATTATATATAATATTTATAATCAACGTGTCTTTGCGATATTCTGTATAAAATATAGGCCTACAATAGAATGCTTTGAACTGAGGCCTAACTTGACTGCCATCTGAAGCAAACCACCCAGTATAGGCTGATGTTGTTTTTGCATGTCGTTATTTACTGGTTAAACCTTCTGGGGACTCTATCCCTAGATGGCATGATGAAGGGTTTTAGACATCGGCGCCTAGTGCTCAGATCAACGGTACTACCCCGTGGATTATCACGACTGTCTCGCTTCCACCTTCCTGTCCTACTGGAAGAAATACTCTGATATCAGTTTTGGTCATAGAGAGAATTATCGCCATTGTTGTGGTTATTTCGTAAACACAACGCAGACGTCTGTCGGTTAAAAGTCTCTCTCTCTCTCTCTCTCTTACACACACACACACACGCACGCACACGCACGCACGCACGCACAAAAATCGTGACTCAACCTGACTTCCATTTATTTAAATTGACAACCTTTAATGAACATTCCTTATTTTTTACAGCATATAAATTAAAATTTTCAAATTAAAACATCGTATCTTAATTGTCTTGGGGTCTTTATTAAAAACAAACATACAAACAAACAAAAAGGAATTCTGTAATCCATAACATCAGGATCACGTAATTTGTTTAAACAAGGATGGCAGATATTATATAGGCAGAATTTCCAAAAATAAGAGACAGCAAAATGACCGTCTATGTATCCATTTATCTATCAGACATTTGTTAATATCTAGTGAAAAATCAATCTGTGGCCCTGGTAGAGGGTGGAAGTGATCATACAGTCGGCAATATGTCTTTGCTTTTGTTCATTTTATCCAGCATTTAACGTTTATAAAATAACGACAGTCATTTCGTTACACGGTTACTGTGAAGATACCAGTAAGGCAAATGCCATTGTGTTAATCCTTAACCAGGTCCCATAAAAAGAAATAAAAAACACGCATGAATCTGGTACGTATTAAGTCCATTATCTTGGGATAAAGCGGGCGGATTAGTTATAATCGCTCGTGCCCCTCCCCCGTCGAAGCACGCGTAAGTTAAGAATGATTTTTTATGACCAGCCCTTAGCTGGTGAGAATGACTTCTTTAAAATCCGCCCGGAGAAGAGCGATTTCACAACAGATAAAAAGATTGATACCTATTTTAAGAAAAAAATCTTCTTAATGGTCTTCACTGCACTCCTAGGCACGTGTTCTTTTATACATTTTAAACTGCATTTCAAGTTTCTCTGCATTCAATGTATTACTTCCAGGAATATTTCACATAATGACGCATCATTTTGGAATCCTCTTGATAAGGAGCAAGAATGAATGACACTGCGATAAAAGCAACATCCAATTTGGAGCAACACCCTAAACACTTCTTACCAAAGTAAGAAATTTGATTTCCGGATTTAAATTTGATCTTAATTTACAGGTAGCACGTGTACGACGGCACACTGCCCCTGAAAATAACTAATCAAGTCGCCCATGTAGCCTACTCTGCCTATGTCGTGAGGCTATGTCAAGTTCGTTTAATTACGAAAAATAATCTATTTCGAGTGAAAAATCATAACAAAAATAATATTTTAAGACTTTAAGTGTTTACACTGTAATCTGTTATTTGTCTTATTTCCATTCGGGTAACCGATTCCAGCGAATGTCGTCACGAAAACGACCGAAACAACAATGCATCTGAGCTATCAATAGAATCTAGGTTATGTACAGTGCGACCACTGAAGCGTGTTAACTGAGGGTGTTAACTTCACTGCTAACTGGAGAGAGAGAGAGAGAGAGAGAAGCCGTGAGGAGGGACGTCACTCTTAAACGCGTTCAAGGTGTTTTCTTTCTGGACTGAATAGTCACGGTATAGAGTAGTGTGAAACAACTGGCTGAGCGCTACGCGTAGTACGTGTTAATACGACCACGCCTTTAGTGACCAGGTAAACAGAAAGTAAACGACCTTCGATCAAAGAACTGACTAGGTCACGGGCAGCCTTCTTATCAATTTCATCAAGGAAGGACCTGGCTACCACTAAGTTCATGATATGACTCCCGCCACAAGTCGAACATGAAGGTATTTTAGTTGTTGATCGGCACGAAGTGGACATATTTAGTGTGAAACAGCCAGGCGCCACCCAACGAACGTTATTAGTTTAAGGTAAGTTCGTAGTTCAAATTCCAAAGCTCGGGGAAGCATTTCAATCGGGTCAATGATTCATGATTGAGAACAACCTTTTATAACGTAGATAAGCAGCTGGGCGACCAATGTGCCCATGTTTTGGCCTGAAAAAGGCAACATGATCGCTACACGCAAGTTTCAGTCTGATAGACGGCCCCGCCAACCCGCGCAGCATGTGTCCATGAAGAGTGGCGAATAACGATTATGTTATACATTGTATTTGGGCAGACCTAGTTAGGACTCCCTGTAGCTGGGGTAGATTTATACTTGACAGTTTTATAAATATCATACGCAGCACTTGTTTGGCTCAAATAATAATCTTAATTGTCAGATAGGAATGTGTCTAGATCTGTTTATTTCCAAACTGTGTTTAAATCCTAGACGTAGGCATAGAAGAGGGAGGCAGCAAGAAGGCAACTTAATACAACACGGTCTATCGATAAAGAAACTGGGTCCACCTGTTCAACACCGCTAGATGTTGCGTAACTCACTTCACGTTAGATAAATCTCTTACCTATCAGAAACGGGCAGGTGGGTGGGCAAGTCTTAATATGATATTAGATGGAATGCGGACCTTTCTATGTTGATCAGCAGTCGGCTGAGTGGTGTTGTATCCAGATTACTTCTTAGGCATTTAATTAAGGTACTAGCTTTCGACTAGGTACCCAGTGTACTGGTAGTACTAGTGGTACACACTTCTCAGTAGGGTCACAAACAATACACCTGTACACAGTGGGGTAATTTTCACCTCAGCTGAAAATGGCCGACAGCGACAAGACCCATGAAAAATAGAGGGAGATACACGCGAAGGTGTTGTGCACTGAGCGACAAAGCAGGATAATGAACGTGTAAGTAAAGCCCCTCCCCCCAATACACCATCAACTTAAGACTAGACGACGTATACAGTCACTATGCCCCGGAGAATTATTTTTAAAACATCCACTCGATCATATCGATCATTAACAGTATATACAGGCTATAATTAGTAGGTGGTGCTATTGTATTAACATACTGTGTACGAAGGGACAGACATGTGAATTGTGAGTGAGCGTTCGGATCGATTGATTGACAATTTTTTCTTTGGCTTGTATTGACATAGGGCTCTAGTGTTAACCAAATGGATGTAGATTTAATCTGATCTACGAAGTGTATGTGTGTGTGTGTGTGAGAGAGAGAGAGAGAGAGAGAGGGAGCGAACAAGAGAGTGATGGACTTATTTCAAACGGGGTTGGGTGGGGGGTTCAATTTATTCTTATTAGCGTTACCAGTACATGTTCAAATCAAATACGCCTTTAGTTACAGAGCGACTGCTACGTTAAATACGATGGTCAGTATACAAATTGAGAAATTATAGTAGTTGGAGAGAAAAGCAAATATATAGCTTATTATTTCTGTGGGCATGGCGCCTACCCAGTGTCTCCAAAAGCGACGATTACTTTACATATAGAACATCGTGCCTGGAATAACTCTATTGTCTCCAGTAAACCAAAGGAGCCTGACTATTAATGATTTCAGTACACATGCATACGAAGCGCATTGATCTAGGGCCGATATAATGCTTTACAAACTACTTACCGGCGGTGTTTGGATAGTACTGGATTGGGGACGTGACCAAGTTGATTTCTCGATGCCTAGGCTAGTTTACACTCAGGCTATTGGATCGGATGGCAAACCAAAATTGGTCGCATCAATGAAAACGGTTTATGAAAGAAGTTGCATTTGCTTGCCTCTGTTGGTTTGTTAATAATTCTTACTCAAAAAGTTATGGACGGATTTTGATAAAAATTTTCAGGATAGGTAAGAAATAGACTAGCTACGATCGACATACAATGACATACATTCAGTTAGGTATTGGTGGCTATAAATTAATTAATCACCAATAAGTAGTAGGAAGTTAGGATTCTCTAGGTGCTTTCCGACATATGTTGTGCAGAAAATTTATTTCAGCGTATAAACAGAATGATTGGCATGTATTCTCGTGCCCATTGTTACCACGAACAGTATCTATACATGATATCCCGGATATATCACGCTTTTCATTTATTATCACCAAGATATATTCTACGTGATCGCATTACAGACTAGCAATCAAAACACTTCCCGTATTATAACCTGTAAAACCGATGTTCCCAATGCGAATATTTCGATAAAGCAACCACGCTAATGTAAATGAAAATGAAAATCAGCATGCAATATGCGTCTTAAGTTGCTTTATTTCATCGGGTGGGATGACAGTGGCAACGCTGGAGCAGAGAGATGAGGAGTAGCTGGTCCTCCAGCCTGGCGCTATACAATTGGACTGCAGTTATGGCCGTGTTATTTTTATTGATCATAAAGGTACTTTACATACACGTACGGCTGAGATTGTAAATAATGTTTTTTCGTTTTAACTACCACATGATAATGGAAGATCACCTTGAAACATAAATCGAAACTGATATATTTGCGTAGCGTAAACGAATAAAAACAAAGTGGAAAGGGAAGAAAAGAAGGCCCTACTGGGATTCGAACCCAGGATCTCCTGTTTACTAGACAGGCGCTTTAACCAACTAAGCCATAGAGCCGCTGTTGCAGACTGGTGTGACAATTCGTGTGCCCTGGCCCCTGTCCCGAATGTTGTCCTCCCGATATTATCGGGTTTATCTGATGTCACACTGATTTTGTATGGCCTGCTAATGATATGAATAAAACATGACAAAGATAAGGACTGAATAAGGCTCATAGGCCAATAAAAAATAAATCGTAACGAAGTCATCTCGGCTGAGGCGAAAATGTAATCTGTATTCGTTCACTATTCTCACAACAGCATATGAAGTGTGTGTGTGTGTGTGGGGGGGGGGGGGGGGCGAAAGCAGATGCTGACATCTGTGCCTAGAATAAAGTTATGCTACAGTGATGTCCTCTCCTATATATTGTGTGTTCTTCGTCGTACAGCATTTTCTGAAAATAATTGTCCGATTGCGTTGATCCGAACATGGACAAAATTTGCGGATTGTTTTACCGAAAAGCCTTCACAGTAAGCCTAAATCAAATTACTTATTCATTTACTTGCTGTACAAATGTTTGTCGTACTAAAAGTACACATAATGACAGGTAGGTCTACTAAGCAGTGATATTTACTCCAGAGAAAAAGAAGCACGGGCACACACGTCTAAGGTTTTTGTATTGATGTGGTTGTTAGTGTGTGTGTGTANAGGGGGGAAAAGGCGCCAGAAAAAGGCAACATGATCGCTACACGCAAGTTTCAGTCTGATAGACGGCCCCGCCAACCCGCGCAGCATGTGTCCATGAAGGGTGGCGAATAATGATTATGTTATACATTGTATTTGGGCAGACCTAGTTAGGACTCCCTGTAGCTGGGTTAGATTTATACTTTACAGTTTTATAAATATCATACCCAACACTTGTTTGGCTCAAATAATAATCTTAATTGTCAGATAGGAATGTGTCTAGATCTGTTTATTTCCAAACTGAATCCTAGACGTAGGCATAGAAGAGGGAAACAGCAAGAGGGCAACTTAATACAACACGGTCTATCGATAAAGAAACTGGGTCCACCTGTTCAAGACCGCTAGATGTTGCGTAACTCACTTCACGTTAGATAAATCTCTTACCTATCAGAAAGGGGCAGGTGGGTGGGCACGTCTTAATATGATATTAGATAGAATGTGGACCTTTCTACGTTCATCAGTAGTCGTCTGAGTGGTGTTGTATCCAGATTACTTCTTAGGCATTTAATTAAGGTACTAGCTTTCGACTAGGTACCCAGTGTACTAGTAGTACTAGTGGTACACACTTCTCAGTAGGGTCACAAACAATACACCTGTACACAGTGGGGTAATTTTCACCTCAGCTGAAAATGGCCGACAGCGACAAGATCCATGAAAAATAGAGGGAGATACACGCGAATGTGTTGCGTACTGAGCGACAAAGCAGGATAATGAACGTGTAAGTAAGGCTCCCCCCCCCCCCCAATACACCATCAACGTGAGACTAGACGGCGTATACAGTCACTATGCCCCGGAGAATTATTTTTAAAACATATCCACTCGATCATATCGATCATTAATAGTATATACAGGCTATAATTAGTAGGTGGTGCTATTGTATTAACATACTGTGTACGAAGGGGCAGACATGTGAAATGTGAGTGAACGTTCGGATCGATTGACATATAATTTTTTCTTTGGCTTGTATTGACACAATAGGGCACTAGTGTTAACCAAATGGATGTAGATTTAATCTGATCTGCAAAGTGTGTGTGTGTGTGTGTGTGTGTGTGTGTGTGTGTGTGAGAGAGAGAGAGAGAGATGGACTTATTTCAAACGGGTTCGGTGGGGGGTTCAATTTATTCTTATTAGCTTTAGCAGTACATGTTCAAATCAAATACGCCTTTAGTTACAGAGCTACTGCTACGTTAAATACGATGGTCAGTATACAAATTGAGAAATTATAGTAGTTGGAGAGAAAAGCAAATATATAGCTTATTATTTCTGTGGGCATGGCGCCTACCCAATGTCTCCAAAAGAGGCGATTGCTTTACATGTGGAACAACGTGCCTGGAATGACTCTATTGTCTCCAATAAACCAAAGGAGTCTGACTATTAATGATTTCAGTACACATGCATATACGGAGCATTGATCTAGGGCCGATATAATGCTTTACAAACTACTTACCGGCGGTGTTTGGATAGTACTGGATTGGGGACGTGACCAAGGTTATTTCTCGATGCCTAGGCTAGTTCACACAGGCTATTGGATCGGATGGCAAACCAAAATTGGTCGCATCAATGAAAACGGTTTATGAAACAAGTTGCATTTGCTTGCCTCTGTTGGTTTGTTAATAATTCTTACTCAAAAAGTTATGGACGGATTTTGATAAAAAATTTCAGGATAGGTAAGAAATAGACTAGCTACGATCGACATACAATGACATACAATCAGTTAGGTATTGGTGGCTATAAATTAATTAATCACCAATAAGTAGTAGGAAGTTAGGATTCTCTAGGTGCTTTCCGACATATGTTGTGCAGAAAATTTATTTCAGCGTATAAACAGAATGATTGGCATGTATTCTCGTGCCCATTGTTACCACGAACAGTATCTATACATGATATCCCGGATTTATCACGCTTTTCATTTATTATCACCAAGATATATTCTACGTGATCGCATTACAGACTAGCAATCAAAACACTTCCCGTATTATAACCTGTAAAACCGATGTTCCCAATGCGAATATTTCGATAAAGCAACCACGCTAATGTAAATGAAAATGAAAATCAGCATGCAATATGCGTCTTAAGTTGCTTTATTTCATCGGGTGGGATGACAGTGGCAACGCTGGAGCAGAGAGATGAGGAGTAGCTGGTCCTCCAGCCTGGCGCTATACAATTGGACTGCAGTTATGGCCGTTTTATTTTTATTGATCATAAAGGTACTTTACATACACGTACGGCTGAGATTGTAAATAATGTTTTTTCGTTTTAACTACCACATGATAATGGAAGATCACCTTGAAACATAATTCGAAACTGAAATATTTGCGAAGCGTAAACGAATAAAAACAAAGTGGGAAGGGAAGAAAAGAAGGCCCTACTGGGATTCGAACCCAGGATCTCCTGTTTACTAGACAGGCGCTTTAACCAACTAAGCCATAGAGCCGCTGTTGCAGACTGGTGTGACAATTCGTGTGCCCTGGCCCCTGTCCCGAATGTTGTCCTCCCGATATTATCGGGTTTATCTGATGTCACACAGCTTTTGTGTGGCCTGCTACTGATATGAATAAAACATGACAAAGATAACGACTGAATAAGGCTCATAGGCCAATAAAAAATAAATGGCGACAAAGTCATCTCGGCTGAGGCGAAAATTTAATCTGTATTCGTTCACTAGACTTGAAAATGTTCTAAGAATATGTATTTTCTCACAACAGCATATGAAGTGTGTGTGTGTGGTGGGGGGGGGGGGAGGGGGGCGAAAGCAGATGCTGACATCTGAATAAAGCAGATGCTGACATCTGTGCCTAGAATAAAGTTATGCTACACTGATGTCCTCTCCTATATATTGTGTGTTCTTCGTCGTACAGCATTTTCTGAAAATAATTGTCCGATTGCGTTGATCCGAACATGGACAAAATTTGCGGATTGTTTTACCGAAAAGCCTTCACAGTAAGCCTAAATCAAATTACTTATTCATTTACTTGCTGTACAAATGTTTGTCCTACTAAAAGTACACATAATGACAGGTTGGTCTACTAAGCAGTGATATTTACTCCAGAGATAAAGAAGCACGGGCACACACGTCTAAGGTTTTTGTATTGATGTGGTTGTTAGTGTGTGTGTGTGTGTGTGCGTGTGTGTGTCTGCGTGTGTATGCCTGTGTGTGTGCGTCTGTGAGTGTGTGTATGAGAGAGAGAGAGAGAGAGAGCAGTGTCCCACCTATTTATACCGCTGTATTGGTCTACCTACCCCCCCCCTCCCCTGAGACCACTGCCCATGCGACCCTTCGGTTAATCCAAAAATTGATAGGCCTTTTTTTATAACAACTTTAATGGGATCTGTGATTTTCCATTATTGCTGTTTTATGAAAACGCAATATCTCGATCATAATCACTCTATGCATCACCTTAGGCAATTAATAAGCATATTTGATACAGGTCTTTGTTTTGCCTTTCTTCGACTAAAAAGGAAACGCCTAGAGAAAGTCACCACGCACTGTGTCTGCGAAAGGTCATATGCAGTCAGTTCAAATCAATAACCACAAACTAGGAGAAATGTTTTATATTATTACCAGTAAGTGAGGTCCTAACAGTGATATTTAAAAAAAAGTGATACAAAGGAAAACAGGGTCTAAAACAGATGAGCCTGTACATACATATATTGCATGAATCGGATGCATGCCAGCAACTCGGCAATGAGAATTTTTAGTAAAGTGTGTGTGTGTGTGTGTGTGCGTGTGTGTGTGTGTGTGTGTTGGCGGTGTGGTGTATATGAAGCATAGAGTATTTATTTATTAATGTCACATTAATAAATGCTTTATGGTCCTATTTAGCTGGAGTGGTACTAGTATGCACGTACTTCAGCTGTACAGATGATTGACGTCTAGATAGCCGTAAGAGAGGGAAAGCGAGTAAAAACCCCTGTGGCTTAATTACTTGTTATTACCTCAAAATGTACCGATACAGCTGTATCATTTTAGTATATGTCTGTTAATGTTGCTTGTGGTTTGACCTTAAGGGTGTCTTGCACGTGTGTTTCATGTGATGATTGGCATGCTAATGATGAGAATTTCTGTTGATCAAAGCTTTTTTTTTTAAATTTCACTTCGAATGTTGTCATCAGCTGGTAAGAGGAAGTAACATCAGTATACCTAACAGACCAAAGGCATACCGTCACCAGTATTGAAGATCAAGTAACAGCGGTCGCAAAGATAAAAATTGCCCATGAAATGTTTTTAAAAACTGCTTTCTCTCTCTCTCTTTCTCTCTCTCTCTCAAGTTATTCAAAGGTTATTCAAGTTAATTAACCCATAACAGCTTCAGTAGGCGTGCCAGACACCAAACCTGCTTAAACTGAAAGCTATTTGGCAAGAAACCCCTCGGCGATGGGTCGATCCTGCTAGAGCGATCTAGGTATGGAAACGGGGTCTTTGTATCAACACATGTTGCACGCATTCGATTGATTATAGACGTCGAAAGACCGACACCTCATGTGACCAACTGTATTGCAAAGGGTGCATTGCACGTTAGCTTCCAGCTAGGCAGAATCGTCGAGCGTTTGATCGTGTTTGATTTTAGGACAGTCAGAATATCGTGGTCTTATTTGTTGAAGTGAAGTGAATACCTGTAGGTCTACGTAATCAATAAAGACGTCTCACCAGAGTGCCAGTAGATGTCGTACAGGAAGGTCAAAGTACGTGGGTGACATAGATGACATTGGGACATTTTGTCTCTTCGCAGTTTCAAGACGAGGCAGTCGGAATCCGGATGAGGTACGGTAATCGAATGCATATGTAGTGATCGAACACAGGTGTGTGTGTGTGTGTGTGTGTCTGTGTGTGTGTGTGTGTGTGTGCTGCTGAGTGAGGTATTTAGACAGTCAATTGTGGTCATAATACTTGTTTTGTTTAACAAGCTTCTGGGATTTATCAGTGATGTAGCGTACAGCGTGCTTGCTGCATTCCATGTGCCTTCGGTCATTCACTACAATCACGTTTGAAAGGAGGTGGGCCATAAAAGAAAAAAAAATAGGGTGGTAGAAGTTGAATGTCTTCATTGGTGCTTTATAGGTATAATAGAAAAGGTAAGCTAGAGACAAAAATGCTGGCAATAAAGAATCGTAGACTAAATTGTGTCGTAAAAGTTGTTTGATAACTGTAGAGATTGTGTATTGTTATGACGGTGGCAGTCAAAACTTGGAGTAAAAGCCTGGACATTGTGTCATACATATTGTCTTATTTCATCTTCGACTGCCTTCTACTAGACCAGAGGCTAGGCTGAGAGAGAGAGAGAGAGAGAGAGAGAGAGAGAGATGTTTATGCACTGCCCGAGGGCCCCGATAATACCATGTAATACAGCAATACATTATTTGTCATACATAAAAATGGTAATCGTACCTTCCCCACCAAAAACCCGTAATTTTGAAACGAGTACGGCGATATCACCGCCGTCTTTAGGAGTTAAAACAGCCACACCGCATATAATCTGGTTTATCTACATCTATAGACTGCTATCATTTCTTTCTTATTTAAACAATATAAAGTAGTTGAGGCAATGCGGTGGCGAAGACTGGGGGGTCGAAGGGCATAATTTGTCAAACATACAAAGGGAAATCGTAACCTTTCCCACCCAAAACCCGTAATTTTAAAAAGAATACGCCGATATCACCGCCGTCTCTAGGAGTGATAAACTGAATCAGCCCCACCGTATGTATCCTATCTACATCTACAGACTACTATCATTTCTTTCTTTTTTAAACAATATAAAGCAGGTGACGCTTTTCTTCCTGCATAACACGAAGCCATCAACGTACGTGTCGTAGTGAATTCAGTGACCAAGCGAATTAACGATAGAAAAAATATGTGAATTTTTAAAAGTCCAGTGGGATGTTCGAGCTATCTTTAGGGGCAATCCAATCACATCAGATCACGATGGAAGTTAATCTAATCATCCCCATTGGCAGGTCGGTATAGGTGACTTAACCTCAATATGAAGCTTTCCGTTTATCTGACACGAACATATCAGATACAAGGAAAGCGGGCGTGTAAACTTCAGCGGCCCCTCTGCAGATAAAGGCTGTATACGTTCAGAGGTGATTGGGTTTATTTATTGGATAGGACACGCCGACAGAATACAGTGAAGTAGGCCTACCATGTGTGATTGTTTTCTGGTCAGTTTTTGAGGATACTGGTAAGCGCTTGTTGCAAAGAGGATAATGCCATCTGTTGAAACGGTAACCCCTGTAATAGCTGTCCTTGTGCAGGTAACATTTACAGTTATTATCAGTCTAGATTTAAGTTATGTTAGCACATCAGTGCGCAGATTTTGCCAACCAAATGCAATAGGTGAAATTTTCACTGATGACTGCAATGCGAAGATAGGTAGTAACTATTAGGTATTGTCACCAGGGTTAGCCACTTTTTGGAAGCAATGTCAAAATGACACTAAGGCACAAGTACAGGTGTATACGTTTAACGTGTTTGTGACAAAGCGATGACCTGCTTAATGGAAGGGAATCGATGCGCAGAAATCAATTAATATTATTGGGGCCCACGTGCAAATAGGGCTTGACTTTGACGTAATGTTTGCCTTTGTTTTCGTCTTTACATGGTAGTTACTCACCGCAGGTACCAGTGGCAGGTAAGGCTGGAATCTGACGCCAATCGAAGCTTGTTAATCTGTCAATCTGATTACATTCAGCGAGAGTCTCCACGGAGTTGGATCGATCTAAGCAGACCGATACTTTCATTGGGGATGAGCCTTTAGGAAACAAAACCAGAGCAAGGCGCAAACCATCATCAATTACTACTTTTATACTACAGACTTTAATTTTACATAATATAAAACAACCACAAAAATATCCGTGGACAGAACAATTCTTAGCTCTTATTCCTTGCCATTACTTCTGTCCCCACTCTCCTGCAAAACTCGCGAAATCCCGCGAGACTTTGGGGCAACTAGGTTGACTGCATATTCTCCTTGAAAGTTCGACAATATAACAGCACATGGATTTGCGCACATCTATTGTTTATGAGCATACAATGGAAACATGTCAGAGCGACAAGAATCGATTCTTAAACACGCTGAATACACTTCGATGCAAATATCTGGCAACTTTGACGATGTTCCCCAGGAAAGAAAATGCATTTTACTACTATTTGTAATATCGAAGATTTACGGTAATTGGTGACACGACTCCCTAGTTTAACGTGAAGGAAGAGGTGGAAACATGTACGGAAGAGTACAGACAGGCACTCAATCTCAAAGTCACACATGTAGGTGCGAATAGTAATCAACACCTTATTAATGCTCAATTCATTATTAATGCATAGCTTGGGTTGATTAAAGAACAAGAAGACTGAGAGGGTAACAATGCCTATTTGTTTTCTATTTTTTTTTTATTTTGCAATAACTGCCATAAGTTTTTGATTCTGGGGATCGATTTTTGATTCTCGGGACCGCTTTTTGATTCTCGGAATCGAGTATAATTTTAGAGTATAGATAGATTTTGCCGTTGATAATTTAACGGGCTGGGATAGAAAAGTTCTTCTTGGTGACACTGTTTATTTAAACGTACGACTCTGTTCTTGGCTACAGGAAGTAAAAGTTGCAAGTGAAAATGTGACGTTATTGTCTCGCATTATCTTAGAGATATGGTATAATTCATTTTACTTGATGTCACAGATTTTTCCGTTGAATAATTCGGCACTAGGTTAAGTTTTCATTTTCAGTTATTTTCTATTGATACAGGACACACGAATGATTACAGTGGTCAGAGTTTCGTAATCTAGGGATGTCTGAATTTGCAGCTCTAGTTGTTACATGTATGATGTACCGTGAAGGTTGCAACATAGCGGGCACCTTTGTTGTACACTGACAAAAATACGTTGAGATTAGTTTTAGCTCTGCATAATTTACATCCGTTCTCATCTCGCATTTTAAGTATAAGATACATTAGTTGGGAAATCCTTTGTATTAGTTGGAATAGTTTTTGATTTGGTACAAAATTATATGCTTAGGCCTACTGATTGTACATGTCTATGATGAAGACCCCAGTTGGTGCTTTTAACCGCAGGGGTTGTCATTGTTGTCAATGAAATAGGTGCCTACAAGTTGGATGCTACTTTGGTTTGCATATTTTAAACATGGGAAGTTATCTCTTTTCTTGGAAAACTCATATTCCACTCATGCAATCATTATTTCATTTATGTCATTTTATTTATATATTTATTTATTCAATTTTGTTATTTGTGCCTGGTAAAATCGATTTTGCAAATGCTTGCCTTTGCATCCCCTCTACTGAAATAGTTGTTCGAAAAACATGTTCTAATTACCGCATTTCATTAGGATTTAATGGAATCTCCAGAGGCTTTACTCAGCACGTTATTTGACTTGACGTCACTGTGATAATGCCACAGACAACCTTGAATTCCAAACTGTACAATCACACATGCAAAGATCTAAATTGCTTGAGACACATTCGTTGGCGCTGGATTTATTTTACAGTTGCGCATTGAGATTCTTAATAAATCATTAACTGCCAGCAATGTCAACTGATTCATCATTATAATTACTGTGTTAGTTTAGTGACAAGTTGGCTCACTACCCGTTCTTAGGGTATCAAATAAGAGTAGGCCCCTATTCTTCGACGACAAGCATTTGTCGCCCCCCTCCCCCGTCTTTAAAGACAACTGGCTTTTAGTAGACATGGATAACATTTTTATTTATTTCTGTCTTTCAGATGAAAATACAGTGGCGACAAGATGTTCCGGTTTAAAAATTCTTATCATCTTTGGTGGAAAAGCACACATAAGAGGCATCCATTGAGAGAATCCACTAAAACGGCGCGATTTTAGCAGCAAGTGACGAGAGCATTCTCATTCAAAAGAAGAAAAATACGTACAATATACTGAGATAAAATAAACCAACAATATGTTTCCTCGGAAATCTGTTTTGACGCAAAGGACGGTAAATGTCATAGTGATATTGTTGTTACTCTTCAATATTTATTCATGGCGTCAGACGCAGCAGCAACTGGCGTCGCACACGGAAGATGTAGAACGACAAGGCTTGGAACGTATTGGGCGATCTTCAGGGCTTGAAGAGCAAGAAAGTTATCGAGCGTTCGTCCAAGTGATGCGGCCACAATCTAATCGTACTGTAAATAAAACAGGTAAACCTTCGAACTCACTCATCAATGTCGTTAAATTCAGACCCCGGAATAAAACAAACGAGGCACCACCAGGGGTCTCTGGTGACACGGGAGGCAAGACAGGCCGCACCGGGCAAAGTGGGGACACGGGCCAACCAGTGCGCTCGGTTCACAATTTTTACGGAAAAGTTTCTGCCGAGCAGTTTAAAGAGGCACTGAAGGTCAATTATTCAAATCCACACGATTTTAAATACATTATTAACCCTGGCGAGAAAACGTGTGGGCAGTCGCCTGTGTTTATTTTGACTTACGTGCATTCTAGCCCTGAACATTACAAACGTCGATCAACAATCCGCGAAACTTGGGGCAATACAAAACTTTTCCCAGACTTGCAAATGCGTATGGTGTTTCTTATAGGGAAATCCCCATCGAAAACCGTCCAAGATTCTCTATTAATGGAGAGCGATAGATTTAACGACATAATCCAAGAGGACTATTTGGATAGTTATAAAAACCTAACATATAAAGGGATTCAAGGTCTTAAATGGATGACAACGTATTGCCGCCAGGCGGAATTCGTACTCAAATCGGATGACGATATATTTATTAACATATTCTCTTTAGTTAAACATTTGAAAACTTTAAAACATTACGGGATAGCGAAAAAGAGCTATACTTTGTCATTTATGGACCCGCATGAAGGTCATGCGCGACGTAAAAAGCAAATGGTATATAAGTCCGGAAGAGTACAAAGATGATTTTTATCCCAAATATTGTTCGGGCTCCGCGTTCCTCTTTTCAGGGGATATAGTGCCAGAGATGTACGAGATATCTAAAGTGACCCCCTTCTTTTGGGTGGACGATTTCTACATAACCGGGCTCCTACCTTCTCGACTGGAGAACGTAAAACACGAGCCTTTGAACAAAGCTTATTACTTTCAAGCGGATCTGGTGGAGAAATTCACCGGGCCCCATTATTACCTGTACATGTTTGCGCATTTACACGGACTCGATAAATTTTATTATATGTGGAATATTATTTTTGAAAAGGAGCGAGGAAAAAAACCCTCCTGACATAATAATGCACAATGATCTCATATATGTCAAGCACTCAAAATACAGTAATTTTTTTATAAATTTGAATAAATTAGGGTTGTTCTGTCGTGGCAACCAAAAGAAATTGAGCATGTCTTAGATTTTTTTTTTCATTTTAGTATCGGCGAAGCGAAACCATGGGAACTTGCCCCCCCCCCCCCCCCCCAAGATAAAGTGGCTGACTGATCCATCCCCCCTTTCAGAAATGGAAGAAAATACACCTTGTGCCTAATGAAACATCCATCGGCTCATGTCTGTGAAAAGAAAAAAGAATAATTGGGAGGGGCAGGCGAGACGGACAAAATATTGGGGTTGTGTTTTCGGGAAAATGGCAAAAAAATTGGTTGCTCTTCTCGTGCTTTTTGACAAACAGTTTACTGGATTTGCCATGGCTGAATATTTGAATGACATTGCTTTGTCTGAGTTTATGATATAGAACCATTTTACTGGGTACCAAGTACACGTCCTTGTAGAACTTTTTTCCAGCGAATTAGAGATCAATAAAGATGCAAAAGGAGGCCCTTGAGCTTGTAAACGAGCAGTGCGGCGTCCTCTGTGCAGTATTTCCCTTCTCGTAAATGCTAATTATAACGAATTGACATATACGCAGCTGCTAACACTCCCATCTCTCGATTTGTGGACATGTTTTCCAATCTCCCGAGAAAAAAAATCTCCCAACTTATCAGATTTTTTTTCTTTATCCTGTCGTTAGAACATGCGGCCACTTCATTCACGGAAAGGTGCCGTCACAAGAGTTGTTAGTTTCATGCATGCAGGGTAGTGATTGCAGTTAACAATGAGGAGGAAATGCCAAAAACAAAACGACTATGTATGTTTATATTGTCATGGGACGAAACTTGGCCCGAGATACCAATCCTTTAAACCGCAGACATTGTTTGTAATAATTTCTGTTTCAAGTAAACTTCCTCAGTGAACGTAAAAATGAACATAAACTGGCCCAACCTTTTCCTAACCCCCTGGCTACGTGGCTGCTTATCCACAATACATTCGATATTTTACAGCTGTTGCCAAGCTTTGGTTACTGCGTGAACATCAAAACAATAGATTCGCGTTGTATTGTGGTTTCTTAACTCTAAATGGCTTTGCGAAGCGGGCAGCCTGAGGCCGGTAAAAGTTGTTAAAGAAGTTTTAAAACGTCAAAAGATAAAATACAGTGCATATGCAAGTTTCAAATAAGTTTGTAGTGTGGTTTGAGCGATAGGCTATAGCTGAATTTTAAAGAATAGAAAGTTTGTAAGTTGCAGGGTGTATCATCGTTCGCGGGAAAAAGGGAAACATTACGATAAAAGCATCTCTGGAAATCAACAGGCAAAGCGTCAACGCTACGAAAGGAAACAAAATTAAAATTAGTTTTAAATGGGGTATAAAGTGCCGACAGAATCAACTTGGACTCAAAGTTTGCTATTTTTAATCTATGCACAAAGTGTCTGAAATGAATTTTCATATCAAGTATGGTTGCTGACTTGCACGAAATATTGCAGTCTTGCTTTGTGTCTTCGTTTATGCACTAGGGCCTGTTTGCGCGACCATCCAGCATATATGTCAGACAACATAAACCAGGTGTGCTAATGAATGGACTGTCGTGCTTATTTCTTATTTTGAATGAGCTTTCGTGCTTATTTCTTATTTCATTATTTATGAAGTGAGATAATTGGGACGGCCGACACTAAAATATCGGCGTGCAAAAATTAACTTATTTTTATTATTGATTAAAACAGGCTGTTATTGTGACTAATTTGTAAAACAGCTGATAGAATTATTGAAGTAATGAAATACTTAAATTGAAATTTAATAATTTACTCAATTGCCGATTTCATTTTTCTATATTTTTTTCTGTAGCCAATGTATTTGATTACAGTAAACTTCTGACAGATTTATAAAGAAAAAAACGAGGCGTTGCATCCCACTTCCCAAAGTATTAAAAACAGAGGAACAGTGTTTTTATTCTCTCTCTCTCTCTCTCTCTCTCTCTCTCTCTCTCTCTTTGGGGGGGGGGGGGAGAGAGAGAGACGTAGGGCGCGCGAGGGAATCTCCATCTCTGGCAAATGTCAATATTGACAGGTATGCATATATAATATCCTAATATATATCATACAAAGTCCCTTTGAATCATTCAGTTATTTATATTGCAATTACAATCATTTGTGGTATAAAACCGATTGATGTACTCTTTTTAACTTATTAGTTTAACGAGAAATTGCTGCATGACCTAATCCACCGTGCAGTAAAATATAATCACCATAATCGACATTAGTAGAAGGGTTTTAATGAGTGAAATACTTGTTTTCCGAAATTTCTGTGTGGAAGCAAATGCCATAAGGTTCTTACACCGCTACTGGTAAGCGGTAATTTGCCATATAAACCCGAGACAGGAATTACCATTGCGGCGATCGCCTCACTTAACGTCTCACCAACCACAATTTTCAAAATAAAGATTTTGAGGTGAAAGTTGCAAAATCGGTTTCTCAAATTTCTTTACTTTATTTTTGTCCTCACAATTGTGATTTCGCAAAATCGGTTTCTCAGATATCTTCTTTTACCGGAGCAACCACGAACACCGTTTCAACGCCTATTTAATGACGCTATTGAGGAGTTAAATTCCTGCCACCGATTTCTCCTAAAAGCCAAAGGTCTGATTTTATCGCTGAAAAGGCAAAATAATGCCTTTGTGTAATGAATCATTGAAATAAAGGGCTCATACTCCATGAAAAATTATATAAACGAAATTGAGGGCACGAGATTAAAGCTCACGCACTTGCCGTCTTCTATGCCAATTTTGTGATAAGGTCTTGTTCGGGGATGAAATAACGCCCCATGCCGATAGCTGTTAAAAAATGACGTAAACGCTCCTCCAAGGTGTCTATGCTTATGCTAAGCTACGCTGATGTTTTATATTTTCGATGGGATTTTATTGGTTCTAATCAGCAATAATTGAATAATTAGAAACTAAAATAAATTTGAATAAAATCTTAAATTAAATCTCGTCTTCAGTATTTTGATGAAAAGTTTTCTTAATGATACTACACGTATCATTTGTTTTTTCGCGCATAAGTCTCAGTTTTTATGTCAGATGTCCATTTCAACAAATCCCGCTTTAATTGCCGGATATTAGTTGACTCTGTGTTCCACCGGCAAGTTCATACACCACTCGACCTCGTACAGGTAGTGCTACGTCATACATAGGCTCTTCTTCTTCCTCCTCTCCCTCTTCCTCTTCTTTTTCTTCTTCTTCTAGAGCAGGGTTACTTATACCCTCTCTATAATGACTCTCTGTAGTGTGCGACATAGAGTTAACAAGTGAAGTTGTTGATACCGATCTCTCCGATTGGCGATAAACTTGGACCTTAGCCCCCTCTGTGACGTCACGTGACTTCACGGTGGCCGAAGTCTCGTCTGGTGTCCAGGAAACTCGCGATATGAGGTGGACGAAAGTGAGCAGGCGGTGTGCTAACATTGCCAAGAACTGAATTACTAATAGCACGGAAAACAGTCCCAGGAAAAGCAAACCTGAAAATCAAAACGCGGTTCTATTTACAAATTGCTAAAGTCTGCTGGATTTCAAATAAAACTGTGGACATGCAGATGTGCATTCCAATATAGCAGTATGCCTACTGTATATTGGCGCAATAGCTTTTTAAGTTTAGTTGCAATAGGGAATTGGCATACAGCCCTGTACAAGATATTAAAAAAGATGAGGGGGGATACCCCCACCACCCCGTGTTAGAAGAAATATTTGGCAATTACGGTACAATTGTGACATTAATATTTTTCGATAATTCCAACACCACCCAGCCCTCAGTTCAAATCCAAGGTCTTTTGGACTCTGGTAACCAACAGTGTGTTCAAAACTAAAAAAATAATTAGAGTTAAAAGAACTTACCGATTGGATTTGTGCCGAACAAGCTCAAGTCGCTTCTTTCGTCGTCCAGGCTTAAGTTTCCAAGTGTTAGAAATATAACCAACCAAAGCAGATTACAGATGGCGAAGGCCACTAATGCTGAATTGCGGAGCTCTATTAATTCATCTGAAACGTACAATTGTTATATAAGACAAGCTTTAAAAAGCGGCTATTCTAGAACGACTATTTGGAATTGTTTAAACTCTCCACAGGTTTTAACCGATAAAGATGTACATGCGGATAGCGTGAGTTGTGATGCTGTATGATGCTCAGCAACACCGGCATTACCTAAAAAACATGAAATAAAACCATTTATTTAAAAATAAATATCACCAGTGTTTCAAAAGCAGCTTAACTTAAGGCAAGTCAGAGGCAAGCTTTCCCCTTCAGCCGCAAGGAACATTACGTGCTATCCAGGATGCACTATCTGCATCATTCCATCAACAAAAGTATCACTAATTCCACAGAGATGCAATGAGGCCATTTTTTCCTACTTCTACCTTTTATCGTATTGCAGACATGCTTTCAACGTCGTCTTAAGACTTTAGGGTATCAATGCTTCCATGCAGGCATTTACCTTCCAGCGCCATCTTGGATTCCTTGAAGACGGTCTGTGGTTTAAGTTTCTCTTCCACCACCTGCGACCAAAACTGATCCTCTTCCGAAGGTGCAGGTGACGTCACAGCCATGTTGATTGCCCTGCGCGTCGTCATAATATTCAGTTCCTCTGGAAATAGGGATAGTGGTGTTTAGAAATGCTACTATTTATTCTATTAATCATGTAACCTTTTAATTCACCTTTTGGTTCCTTTTTGGTTGATCTATTGAGAGCGATTCACATTTTATCATTGTGACGCGTTAACCTGTGATGTCATTTGTGATAATAATTTCACTCCAGATGACCATGAAGAACGTTTACAGCTTCAGTAGATTCACAACAACATTTTATCATTGTGACGCGTTAACCTGTGATGTCATTGCTGATAATAATTTCACTCCAGATGACCATGAAGAGCGTTTACAGCTTCAGTAACTCCCGAAGACCGACTGCAGAAAGTATAATCAGTATAACCTTAGAATAACCTTAGAAGTATTATCGAAGCACAGTTTTCTTCAACAGCTTGTCCTACGATCGCATAAACTAAAAAAGAAAATCCGTTTAGCAAACCCAACGAAATGGTCATTTTTTTTTCATCCTATTGGAACCCACTCGATTTGAAAATAATTGATTTAGGCAAAAAAGTAGTATGTTACCTGTAGTTGGTTCCCGAAGCAACTGGATCACGTTGTACAGTCGTTTGAGGTGACCTGTAACATATGTCATGATGACGTCATTCTTTGCTGACGTCATCCTTATGATTGTGACGTTAGCTGTCAGTGCATTTGTCAGAAGGCCAAATAAACATTCCATTCTTAGAAAAACTTTTTGAGGCCAATAATTCAGTAACCCGATATTAATTTTTCATTGTGTTCCACTGACTACATTTGCAAACAGAGTTCATAATGAACTGTGGGCGCTTGTGCTTCTCGTGTGCCAGGGCACCTAAATAAAAATGCTTAAACCCTTGCTGGCCGCATTTTACTGTATAGGCTATGTAGTTACTAGCAGTAAAGAATATTAGATTATTAGATAAAGATTTAAAGACGTCGTAATACTACATCTATATACTTCATATCACATTAACTATTTCACCTGGTTTGTACACGCTGAACTTTACTCTGAGTTTACTAAGCTCCGTTGTTTTAGGGAGTTCTTCAAACTTGGGGAGCATGGTATCTTCATACCCCTCCAAACCGACACTTAGAATCCACGCTCTACGCTCGCTCTAAAAAGAAAAGGTTACTTTCAAGAGGGCTGGGTTATATATATAAATCTGTACCTTACAATTATTTAAATAACAAAAAAAAAAAAAATCCATCGGACAGAATAACTTTATTCTATGTACCCAGTGATGAAAAAAAAATCATATTTGTCCATTTAAAAAATAAAAATTAAAAATAAACATTCGAAAGATGCACTAAAAACCAAGATTTTTTTTTACTTTTGACGACCTTGGAAAGTAAAAACCGACAGGCTGTTCCTTCGATTAAATTGTTTGAATATAAACTATAAAATGAAAGGTATCCATATTGCGGTACCTCAGTAGCGGGCCAGTAGGGGTCTATGGTGAAGGCAGGAAGACCGGCGGCCGCAGCGTGGACCGCAGCGAGATGATCTGGCTTAGTGATGCCCACAGACCGAATTTCCTTGTAAGTAATACAGAATAGTATACAAAAAGGCTGCATTCACATCGAGTTAGTCCGCGGTTCCACTTGAAAGCGTACTGCGGATCAAATGGTTGTGAACGCCGCATTTAAATGTGACAAGTACATGTACTAGTGCAGAGCTGAAACGCTCGGTAAATGTAACAGTAGCGGCAGTATCGAATCAAACTGATTATGTTAGTACGCTAGCCTATTTTTCAAGGTTAAATATATTTGTCTTTTGTGATGCGCCATTTTCTTACGATTTCTTAACACATTTGAATACAAAACATACAGCTCTCAGTCTGTGCCTAAGGCATGACAACAATTGATTTTGGTCGGCCACGCTTTTCCAAACGTAACTACTACTTCACTACTACTACTATATGTGATACAATTTCATCCACTACTGGAGTAGACAAAACATCTGGGTTTTAGGACTAAGATCTATTTTCTGCCTAACACTCATTTTTTACACCAGGTTTCGAGGATAAATTTACCTCTTTAGTCATCCCTGCGATAAAACTGGTATCCCCGTAGCCCAGGGTTTTGAACCAGGGGGCGCACTGCTTGATTTCCTCCTGGAAGAAATTAGCCTCCAACCAGTCTTCCACGCGCAAACAATCCTCCGTGGTCTCTTTCTTATCGTAATATGCCGTGATTTTAGACCTCCTAACGGACGATTGTCTTCGTAGTTGGACATTTGAAGGGCGCTCCTTATTGTCTTTTTCTAATATAGCAATTTAGTCATTCTTAAAGTATTATTCTTAAAAAAGGTGTTACAAAAAGGACTTCTGGTTTTTCTGGTATTTATTAGGGATCAAGAGTTCGGAAAATCAGAAAGTGTACAATATCATTTATTTTGGATCGAGTTAAGTTGTATTTTACCTTCCGGCGTATTCTGCGACACACTGGCTTTCCGATGAGGCACGTTGCTGATGATAATCGGCTGAGGCGTTGTTTTCGTGTTCCGCCAAGCACAACTGGAGTGGAGTGAAAGACAATATGGTCTTAATTTCAGAATGATAATGGCATAGATAACGATGGAGCACACGTATAAGTTAGGGATTTAAACGGTTGCTATTAATCGAGGGCTTAAAGATAAATATTACGCTGGGTTCTCGTGCACTGAAATACGCATATGTAGAGCCAAATTCACTTCCATTTAATTACACCGTTTTATTATACGCGAAGAAAACTATGAAGGTGACCTGCTTTCTAATGCAGTTTTGTAGGAACAGAATGATATTTTAAAATTGATATTTATTAAAAAACAATATTCTTAATTTTATTTAACTTCATAACGTATTTAAATGTAAATATTGTTTTAGTGAAGTATGATCGGTACAAACCATACTGCTTGGAAAGCTTTCACCACAGTTGTCAAAATGTCATCATCAGCGCCACCAATAGTTTTCGCCTCCCTCGTCCCTGTAAAGGAAATTATACAATAAAACAAAGTGACATCACTCTATTATAATGCATCACTGTACAAAATATAGCATATCAATAAGAATAACATCAAAAATATCCCGCCAGAACCGAAATGTCATCTACCATACATGTAAGAAGATTTCTTCGCAGCATGTCAAAAAAGGTGCGAAATAAAAGCCTTACACCGGTACCTGAAGGCTTTTGTGTTATTAGAGATACTTGTTTGTCCCTGAATGATAATCCTAGCCGCCAGCGATTAAATTTCTGGAAATCCGCAACTGGGCACATAACAGCAATATACCAATTTCATCGGTGATGACAATGATGCTAACAGTAGTGATGATGTACGGTATTTACTCACAATATTCGAATGTAAAATAAAACGTGCACCTCACCCCACGACTGGTCTGTGATGTTGCACAGACTGTAGATGGTCAGGAATAGGTACCCAGCCGGCAGGAAGAACAGGTAGGTAAGACCTGATGGTAAGAGAACACATGTAGTGACAGTTATCTCCAACTATTTCATGAATGGCACATGTATAAAAAACATACGTCAAAATATTACAATCGTTTTGAATGACAATTGATATAAAGGAGTTTTTTTTTTTTTTAAAAAGCTCTCCAAGTTATTTATCAAACTTTTTATATTTATGTTTAATGTTTCAACAAAATTATCGGTGATGCTTTTTTAAAATTAAACATTATATAACCACCGACATTTTTATCATACAGATTAACTTATTTTTTACTCGTGGTATGCTATGCGTATTGTCCTACCCGTGATAGGCACGTACCGTGAAAAATACAAGTGAATTCCGTCGGATGGACGACTGAAGCAATGAGGAACATGACAATAATAGTCGTGAAGTAGATCGAACTAGTGGGTATTGGCATCTCCCAGATCTCTGAAATATGGCAAAGGTTTTCTTTGAAGTGTGAACTTTGTCATTTTTATATGAAAACAAAATGCATTTGCAGATTATATACACTGTAATGTTATTGAGTTTATAGAAAATGGATGATTTTGTTCAATGTGTATATGCTAGTGGTTATAACAACCGTAGAAAAGCACCAAAGTTAACTGTTTTTTTTTTTTATGTTTGACAGGTGCGCGTGCAAATAAAATATAAAATATGTATATTATATGCAGAAAGAGAGAGATTACCGTAATTGTATTTGTTTGCCAGTATGTCTGGAAGAGCGGAGTATTCACTGACCAACTGACGGATCGTTCCAATGAATGATGCTGACGTAATCAAAGCAAAGACGGCACTCAGCAATATGGCAATCTGAAAGACGGACAGGCAAATGCAGGCACATACTTGAAAACTACATCATCAGAGTTGAGAACTTCAACCCAGAAATCCATTTAAACACACGTTTTGATTCATAATACTTTTTTTTGCAAATTTTGACAAAGCACCCAAGACAATGGTAAAGTAATTTAATAACGCATGCATAACCATCACTATTTTCTTTTTTTAACAAATTGCTATATATAAAATTTAACAAAATCACACTTTCCTCTAAAGAAATATTATGGCTCTTATTGCCCCAGTTTTTGTGTACTGCATATGTTTTGAAAACAGACTCCCCATAACCGTCCGTGCCGAAACTTCAACAAAAGGGGACGATCTGCAGCAATCCCATGCCATTTAAAAACACTTACATTCATCTGTGTGTCTCCAGATGTCTTTAGACAGATGTACAAAAAGACGCCAGACAAAATGGTCAGTATAATTGCCACCGGGAGGTTGGGTATATTGAAAGCAAAGTCCAGTCCACCTGAAAAAGGCAGTTGTAAACCACAGAACAGTCACACTAGTTTATTAAAAAAACCTATTTTCTGTAAAGCGTACGAATTTCTTTTATCACCATTTGATATACCACCGATATCCTGTAGCTATAAAGGCTATTCTCGGCACTTCCACTACTTTTACGCATATTTATGTTATATACATGCAGTCAGCATTACATTATATTACTGTATGAGTTATCATTAACATACATTTTATTGCTGCACGGCCTTAACGTCACATTCTTTCAAAACGTCCTTGCTATTTTATTCTATGACACGAATTCCTAACAAACAACTATGGACGCCGCTCTACCTGCTATGACTAATATCACAGTGGCTGGGCCCACGAATGAAGACACTAGAAGAGCTGTCTGGTAGATCATGAACAGCGTGGACATGTGCGGATTCTTGGTGATGATTTCTTTGAAATTTCCTATCAGAAGGAACATGTTGGCGATGGTTGAAACGACCCAACGCCGGCGCTGCTTGAAGAACTCTTCGAAACCCTCGGGACAGAAGGTTTTGTTCTCGGCGGCGCCTGTGTACGCTAAGTGGTAGCTGGCTGTTATCTTAGGAAGCAAGAATATAAGTCGATAAAATATATATGTGTTAAGGTATACAAACTCAATCGTCAATAATTAAAATGAATTTTACAAATTTATTTTACAGACGAGACCAAAGACGCCATGTCCTTTACTGGGAAAAACACAAGGCAGTTTAGAAGCGCTGGTGAATATCGATATGTATATTACATATCGATATGTAACAAGTAACATGATTTCAGGCCTAACCAAACATACACTGGATATCTAAAAATATAGTTTTATTTTCCCATATTGCTACACGTGTATTCACATTACTGAAGGTTCTTATTATTTACAAATCACTGTTTTATGTTACCATTAGTGAACACAGCCATCGGTCCTCCCCCATGTCTTTGTACAGGAACTCGAAGGCGCTGTTGGTAGTGCTGCCGTATATACTGGTCACTTTCCTCAGTACATTACAGCGGTACAGGCTAAAGCAACCCGGGGCACACAGTACACTGCCTAGCATATGGTTTGACACCTACACAATACATGACATTCCATTTTCTAAACAGTTCCTGCTTACAATATGGAAAAAGAATCTGATGCCGCTTGCCTAAATTCTCTAAAATACAGGTAGAGTTACTCTGTGTGACATGGTTTTGAAATGGCCCCTTACTTGTATCTCACATTTGAATAACTTACATCCTAAAAAAAGATTTGTTGAGACATACCTTACAACCCCTTTCATAATCACCTTACCTTATTTGCATACAATATATATTACAAAGATCTTAGATTTTTCAAATAGAATACCTTTTGAAACCAATGTCCAACAGCATAGTCAAAAACCTGGTATGATACTACGGGTTGCACCTGTGAACCCAAGGGGTGCGTCCTACCGCACACCGCCCCTATCCTAAGCGAGTCGTCCCTAAGATAGATTTCTAACAACGCCTCCACAGAAGGCAATGTAAATTTGACGTCTGCGTCGGTGGCGAGAATGTAACTGTTCTGGAGTCCTGTGAATTGTATATCGTGACTAAAAATAGCAAATCTGAGAGGGAGAAAATAGACGTACCCCTCAATACGGTTGAGAATGAGAGCGTTTTTATATTTTTTTCAAACAGAGGAAGATTAGTCTATATTACACCCACACATTCAAAACAATATGATAAGAAGAAGAAAAAAAATTACATCCTAATTATCTCCCTTTTACCATGCAGTTGAAGATGTTTGCATACATTTATCAATTGAAACAATTGCGATACGTGAGATATTAACTAACCAAATGAGATTAAAACAATTTAAATATAGAATTGGGGCACATTTCTGTGTGTCCATATACGACCTGTAAGACGTGAAACATTTAGACATGCAGTTTATTTTCCTTACTTTGCTCCCATTGTTTCAGTTCCTCCGCAGTGGCTCCCTCTCTCGGCTTCTGGTTAAGGTAGTCAAGCACTAAGGACAAATACATGATCTGACTCCATCTTTTCTTATTCTTCACCTGAAACAAAACAAGGACATATGTGTGTTATTATATATAGGCCCTAGTTTCAGGGCACGTCGTCGTATTTAATATTCTCAAGATAGCCATATGTACAACTTTACTAGACTTTCAGGACTTACAAATTGCCCTAGGCATTTCAGCTATACATGGGAATACAAATTATTCATAATATTGATTAAATGAGAAAATATCTCCTTTTGGAGGCGTAAGCCGAGGCAGCTGGGCAAAACTCTTAGTCTGTTCTTACAACACATACCGGTAACACTGTATTGGTGTTTAATGTCAAGTAAAACAAAGCATTTAGTGCAGTATTTATAACGTGTAATATAAGGTGCATAAATGACTAAAAGACTGAGGATAAGCACGTTTATATGTGTACCTTTCTGTTGTCCTTAAGATGAAGATTAAGACTCATGGTGTACCTTTCGGGGTCCTCCAGGGCCTCCGTACTATTCAGCGGGAATTTCCACGTCAGACGCATGCCATATTTGGTCCTCACCTTCTCGAAACCTTTATCTCCGGGCGCGAAGCTAACATCTGGATTGTACACATGTATATATATGTAATACTGGACATGCGTTCGTGAACACAGGGATAATTTGAAAAGGAAACCGATTAATCTTGCGATAGCAACCGATCAAATGATAGACCACCCTCTTTATATCGTCTGGTTGCGAATAACGAAAGAATGGTCGGTTTTCTGTCTAAGGTATACGTAATGTGTGAACACAGCCTATAGTTAATAACATATCTGTTTTGTGAGGGGTCTTGGATTGCACCCCCTCCTATATTAAAAGCATGAAAAGAATTTGTTAACTCTGTAATATTATTAAAAAGATAAAGCCAAGGTTTTTCTAGCTCATCTCCCTTTGCACTTTTAACGAAAGCATCGCCCGCCTTTTTGACATAATTTTGAGAATTATATAGTCAAAATACGATGATACATCTGTCTACAATAATGGTTCCGCATGTTCATTTAATTAAGAAGTTGTGCAGCGCACATAAGATAGTTAAAATGATTTACGATTGTAAAGTGTCACCACTACAGTTATCGGCACAAGCCAAGATACCGTGCTGTAAGTAGAAAACCTACCAAAAATATCTTGCAGCAACGACAACAGTCTCAGAGTATTCGTGTTAAAAACATCTCCTTTCTTTTTAGTATCGAAAGCACCATCAAGCCAGATGTGGGAATAATAGGCGGGGGAGTTGGCATGTCGGTCATCGCGCACGCGCCGTAGGGACTGTAGGAGTTGACCCATTTCTTCAGCAGACTGGAATTGAAATAGTATCCATATTTTGACGTAAGTTCACAGAGTTTATAATAATGAATTATTAATAAATAATATTAAAATAAGAATATAATTATAAAATTATACGCATCATGTCTTTCACTTATTTACCAAAAATCTGAATTTTCTATATAAAAGTGGACCGTCAACTGCCGTCTCGATAACAATAATGAACAACAGTGGGGAATATCTAGGCCTATATGGTGCATGTTGATTCAATATCTATCTGGGAATACTAAAATCAAGCAAGGAACTCTATACCTCATTATACATGGTTGTGTTAATGTATATAGTGGCTTCCTTTCTGAGATGATCTGGGTTACGTTTGGTTGTGTCTGTGCGGTATGTCTTCCTATTCAACCACAGCCATTGTTCTAACATCACTCCGTTATAACTTGACAACCAAAACAACTGCAATTGGACAAGATATAAAATGACGCGGTGCCTGTAACAACAGGTCAAGATTGTTTACCATGGTAAAGACCCCCACACTCACTGGGTTTTGATGCTTTCTAACCCATGGGATCCACGCTATACAAAAGCTATATAAGGAAGCATTGTCATAGATACTCACCTTCCCTTGTGTTTTGTTTAACTGTTCTGTCCCGCGTCCCGTATCAATCCCGTTCCACCGTTATACTTATGTGATAGAACGCGCCTAGTAATGACAGTGGACTGCATTATGTAAAATTAAATTTTATATCTACTCATATACTGTTGTATTAAACCAAAAAGACTTAGTTTGGTATTTTGCTGAAAGAGTGATTGGCAATATTCTTGCAAACTTTACCTGTGATTCTTTCGCCAGTACCAGTGTTTTGTTATTCAGAATGAAGCGGCCAATGGAGAAAAAATTCACAATGAACAATATCACTATTGCTAAGACGCCAATAGCGGCCTGGTGGCCAGTTAGAGAGTCACAGTGGAAGTGAGGCAGAAGAGAGCACGTGTTGACTTCCCCAACGACGAACGCGGCAATAGGTGTGGCAAGACTTAGCGGGATGAAGAAAATCGACAGGTAAGTCTTGATATTGAACCTCCCAGCCACCGTTTTCTTAACGTCAAACCCAGCGTTGATGGAGTCTGCAAACCAAGTGAAGATGTAGCCCCCGAAGCTTGTCAAAATATTGAGAAGGAAGTATCCAAATGCCGGATGCGTTAGTAGGCGAAGATGGACGTACCACACGGGTCTCGTAAGGAACGTGAAATAAGAATAGTTACCATATCTCACATAGCTAAAAAGCATAGGGAGGGTGAAGGTCAGTACCAGTTTCCAAAAGTTAGAAAGAATTCCCGCTTTCCATCTGACTAACTTGTCTGGTTTCTGATGTCCAAATCTGTCACTCTCTCCGTTTCCCCCATGCACCCCAGACTTTATCAACTGTCTCTTTAGCATCCACGGCCACCATGCAAAAGTCAACAAAAAGCAAACAATGGGTAGAAGCCACGCGTCGGATGCCCTGTAGTGCGCTTCCATATCAATTTGTTGAAACACCGCTAACAGACACAGTCCCAAAATGTTGAGGACGACAAACACCATGTTGACGACCGTTTCCGCCTTGCTGCTGCATCCGACCCCGAATGCTGCGTCACTGCTACCAGAATCCTCCATCTTGTCGATTTTATCGTAGCGGAAACAGGAAAGTCTGAGGAGGAATGGTTCCACCGTTGCCCATATGTTTGGCCAGATGAACACTGTTGTTGACACGGCTAGGGCCGTGAAGGCTGACATCCAAGGAAAGAGAAGTAGCACAACCAGCCAAAGCCCAGTAACCTCAAAGACACTTGACACAAACCCCTGCAGAATGATAAATAAGCGTTAGTGAAAATTAAGGCTTGATGTTTGCTTTTCAATCATATTATAAACAATAATTTGTAAATACAAAATATAGTAAAAGCGGCACCTACATTCACTTTATTTCCTTAAGATATTGAACGCACGATTTAACTTTAGCTACGGGTGCGCAGTGAAATTAATGCTAAATACCTTAGTCGAGATATCAAAGTGCACTTGCCATCCATTGCATCTTTTATCAGTATGGATATGACATAAACTGCAAGCATCAAATACAAGAAAGAAGCAAGTAATAAATATATTAGTGTAAAGCAACAAAAAATCTCACCACAAGTATTGCTCCAACAGATGGCCAAGGTTTGCTTGAGTTCTTATCGCAGCCACAACTGAATCCTCCGACCCAGATACATCTAGCCAAAGAGAAGACGTACGGAATTCCCAAAAGTAACACCAGCATGAAAATCGTCACTTGTTGATACTCTGGCAGTTCCCCTGCCCCTGCTGTGTGGTTAGATGTATCTCCAGCGTAAGGTTTGTAGAAAAACGTCAGTGGCGTTGCCACTTCGTCAACGTCGAGGAACGTGCCATTGACGTGGTCTCCTAGCGACTGTGCCACCGCAATGGCGGATATTTTGCTAGCGACGACGCAGAAAAGTACCGCTATCACCGTTAGGAAGGAGACAACTATCTTTGTGATGCGGTAGCATTTCTGTTCAGAACCTTCTTCCCGTTGGATGCTGTCTCCATCTTCTGCAAATACGGCAGCTGCTTCCTCTGGTCTCTCGCTTACTGTAAGATTAAACCGTTTTCCAGGAAAATTCCAAACTTGCTCGTAGGCCATTTCAACTCAACACGGAAAATCAGACGTGCAGAGAATATTTCCGAGTGGCAGTATAATACTCACTATGAAGTGTATGATTTGATTTCGATGAACCACTCACAGGTAGATGATCTGTAGGTTATCTGTTGGTATTTAATATCATTCTTGTCTCGTGCATGTTCCATGATACCGATATCCTCCCTTCCCTTATCATCCCCAAACAGATAGAATTAACATTCAACGATAACGACCACAAACCATTCCAGTGTAGAAGTGATATAAAACAAATGCAAGGGGGGAGGGGGGTCTTTTGATTTGCACAGAGAAGGGAAAAGTAACAATACCTCGTATTGCGTATCTGCCTCAAATTATGAATAATATATAAACCTGCCTATAGATTGTTTTCCATATGGACACTTGTATTAACTTTTGCTCAGATTTGATTGTGAATATGGAAAGTACATATTTCTCTTTTTATTATAAATTATCTCTACACACACTGGAAAAAAGAAGTGTCACCCCTACTGAGTCAATACTANGCATCGATATTCTGACATTGCTTATATTCCGCCTCTTCAGGTTAATAACTTGCACCTATAACCGTTAGATAATTACCTGTATCTTGCCATACTGGAGGAAGACAGGAATGACATTTGCTGTACATGCACAAGACCAACAATACAATTCCATGGTATAGCGGTTTTACACTCATTAGTCACATTATAAGTAGACCAGGCATTATAAGTACCCAAGATCTGCCTACTTTCATTACTGTGAGTTAGGGGGTGACACTTCTTTTGTCCAGTGTGTGTATGTGAAATGTAAATAATACGGTTTAAATCTTCAACACAACTGAGATTTTTTATGGGCTCACAATGATAAAAGGCAGGCCAACCTCAGTGTGGCACTACATTCGGAATTATCTTATCATCGATTTAGTAAATGGAAATGGAAACTGAAAGGCGCTGATAACATAAAATTACATTACGTAAAATTTTCTCTTAATTTTTTCTCAAAAGTGTTAAAAGAAAGCAATCAAACAAAATAGGGACAGGCACAAATAATTTTTAAGAATTAATATTAAAGCACACGATAGGGGAAAATGAAAACATCAAATTAGCCACCCAACTAATCTGTTCCCAGTCTTATCTGATCTACTCAGTGCTTCTCAGCAATATCATACAGATAAACTATTAAGATAACAGCGAGTGAGTTGCATTTAACTAATCCAAAGGCCTGAAACGGTGGGAACAATGGAAGGGCAAGCCCTTTTTATCTTGTCGTCATAGCTGTACCAAAATCTCTCCCCGATAACAATATTGAATTTCACAGCTCAAATGGTTGACGAGAACGACGCGCTTTCAGCACATCTTTTAAAGGGGAAGCAGTTGTTAGAGGCCCTCCTGTAATGTAAGCGGCATGGCTGCATCTCAAGGCTATAATCGTTTTGATCTAACTGTATCTGAAGGACTTTACCAGGATAATGGCGATAGTAAGACCAACCCGTCTCGAGGCGCTTTTGCTACCTGTGTCAGCATCACAAAATACATTGTGTCAATAATCGTGATGCTTTGCATCCTTTTCTGTCTTGTAAGTAGCAAAATAGCGGTCATCGCCATTGCGCAGAATTTCAACCCGAGCAGACCTGACACTATGAACCTTTCAGATCTTGCCGGCTCCGATAATTTCAACCTCACATCTCACAGTGCTCTGAGCGCAGAAAAACAGATTTCGCTGTTAATGTTACTGATCATATTCATCGTACCTTACGGATTTTCTTTGCTCAGATGCTTTTGGGTTGGTGGGTTCAGCTGCACAATAGCCGGTAGCGGCAAGAAACCATGGCCATCGGGAACAGGAGTTTTACTGGTAAGCAAGCGGAATTTAAATGGTGCCAAAATAGTCATTTGGGCTTGACAAAGCACATAAACGATACTGCAGAGATGGTTATATTGTACGTCCGAGTTAATACGGAATAATGAAGCGAAAAAATGTCTTTATGGTCAGTGTTGGACCTGTGATAAACAATATTCTATACTTGTGTTTTTAGAAAAAAAAAATGATTCTCTTTTCCTTATAATGTCAGTATTTATCTTATTGTTCGAAAACGATCAACAACATATCTAAGCATAGTAAGACATTTCTATGTTGATGAGACCCTATTCGTGTTTTAGGGCTTCCTGTCTAGTGCATTTGAAGTGACGGGCTTGTGGCTGTCATGCCTGATTCTGTTCCCGTACATAAACGGGTTTCTCTGCGTCCTAATATCAACAGGCGTGTTTGTGTGGCCCAACATATGGAACGCAATAGAACCGCTTTTAGCCAAGTGCCTCAAATCCAGGCAGATGCAAGAATACACACAGCGACTCCACTTGGACGACGACAATGACGGCACGGGAAGTATTGGGTTCACCATCTACAACATTGTGGTCGCCTTGGTGAGCGTTGTGGGCCTTATTCTTCTCAGCGTTGCAGATATTGCTGGCGAACTGGGAAGCAAAACCTGGGCTATTCCCATTTCAGTACTGCTGCTGTCTTTTGCCTGGTGGCCAACGCTACTGAAGCACCAGTTGCTGAGATCGGACCAGTACCAGGAGGACCCCGAGGACGCCCTAGGCCGCACCCGAGACCGTTATGGACATAAAAAGCCGTACAAGCTTGTACGCTGGAAGTCTGGCATTCTGACCAGCTTGTGGAAGCTTGGGCTGACGCCTTTTATTTTGTGGGTCACTGGGCGTGCTTACCTCGACACGGACGACTTCATTAAGCTGATGTGGGGGCAGAATGCCAAGGACACTGCTTTGCTCTTCAGAAACCACCCTTGCTTCCCGTATTTCCTTGTCAACGTGATAACAAGCTTCGCAGGGTATCTTTTCACGTGGTTTGCGGACGCCATTGACGCTGGATTCGACATCAAGCGTAAACTTTTTAGTGCCATCACGCTGGAGACGTATCTTTCCCTCTTCTTCATCCCTCTGGCACTGGCGACACCTATAGCTGCTCTTGTGGTCGGGGAGTACAGCATTTGTAGCGCACTTCTTGCTGACTTTGAATGCAGATCTCTCACGCCAGGCGAGTTAGGTTACGGCATCCCTGTTATCATTCTACTGTTTACTGTGAATTTGTTCTCTGTTGGCAGGTACATTTTTACCAACAAAACGCTTGTCCTGTCTAAAGAGTCGCAGGTGGGTCTTGTAAATGCATTTGTATAACAAGTAAAACATACATATGGTCTGAGACTGTTCCTTTCATTTGTATAGTATAGGAAAAATCCTGAAAGCATTTTATTCAGTATATTCACGTCAAACACACCATTGGTGTGTCTTTGGTCTTACACATCGTTACCCACGTAAAATGTGTTTTATTTAAGTATAAACAGGTATAGTTCAGCGCTTCAACTACCTGGGTCACTCTTTGACATTAATTCACAGTGGTAATTGATAAATTAAATCTGATTTAGATCAATACAGCAATTTATTTTCTTCAGTTGTTTTGGATCCCATGCTACAATGGCGTGCTTTTGGAGCAGTGGCTGTGGCTGAATAGAAAGACATATAAAACTGACCCAGACACTGAAACTCCTGACAAGGCAAAACAAAGATGCACGGTTTACATGAATACTACCATGTACAATGAGGTAGAGTATCGAGTAGTGTATTAAAACACGCCATATTGGGGTAAAGTAAGGAATCCTTGAGATACAATTGACGTCATTTCGACTCACAGTACCTATAATTACTCAAAGACTAGCAACTATTACTGTTAGGAAAATGCACAGGAATGCATACTGTTATCATGAATATCTTATCAGGACCATGTCCTATAAATTCAGCTATTTAATATACAAATACTAAACTGTCACATCTTTGATTACCTCTGTGTATACTTTTGGAAAACGTTAGCTTTCAGCAAATGATGGCCGCAAAGATAAGAAAAAATATATTTATATGAAAATAAACGTCAGTATTCTATATTAAACTTTAAACTAGAGCGCGGAGGAAATGAGCCAACTTCTCGGGTCCATAAAAAACGTGCGAGACAACCGGAGCGAAACCTCTCCAAAGTTCCACTCGCACATATGGCTTGACGGTGCGTTCGATACCAAGAGGAAGGGAGACAACCTGGGCAGCAATGCACTTCGTCTTATTACTTTGCTGAAAGAAGTGTTTGGTGAGTTCTTCGATACTTATAAGCTGCCGTTTATTTGGCTTATATACACTTGTAATTAACGGATATTCAGTTGATTAAAGTCAAAATGCACATTCAATGTAAAATATCAAGATTACCTATTCAGCTTTAAACTTAGTGATCCCCAGCCACTATCCCGAAGTGTCAGTAAATATCTGTAAATAGATTAACCAAAAGGTTATTTATTTCGCATCAGATATCGAACTTCGACACGAGTCGTTCGAATTCCGCAAATCAAGAACCAGCTACGGGATGAGACTGTCTTGGCAGTTTCCCCTGTCGCCAGGCAAACAACAAAAGGTCAGGGAGTTGAAAAATGAAGACCCCAAGGACTACGTCATGAGCTTCACCGTTCACCTGAAAGATAACCGAAAGGTAAATGAAAAAAAGGCTTAGGAAGTGCATGTCACCAATTTAAATTTATATATGCCCAGCATTTATGATTTTCGCCAACTAGAAAACATTCAGGACACTAATAGTAATTTTAAAAATCTTTTCCAGAGGGCATTATTCAACATTTAAAAATTCATTAAACCTCAGGTACATGTTTGTTTCCCACTTCAGTGCTTACCTTACTTGGCGTTTTTCTGTATTCAAAATTAGGTGAAGAACAAGAAACGGTGGAGTCAGATCATGTACCTGTCTATGATCGTGGACTATCTAACTGGGAAGCCCAGACCAGGTTCAAGTAGCCCTGACGCCTTGAAGAAATGGACACAAAGTAAGCAATGGCGTGCGCATATGATATCAAAAAGCAGTGTTAGTTGGAAAATTAACAATATTTTTAAAAAGAATTTCGCACATTTCAAAAAATGTGTTAATAAATAATTCAACAACAGAACTTCATGGCACTCCGACAATTTCCTTGATTCTGCTTTACCAAAATCAGTTTGCCAAAAGATTCATGAAAATCTCTCTAAGAGCTCTCTATCAAATCAGTTAAATAAATAAACAGATGAGTACAATAAAGATGGGGAAATAAGAGATGAAAAAGGTACCTTAAGTTTTAAAATGTGGACAAAACATACATAATTTAGTATGAAACATTTGCGACTTACAGTTGCAAGGATAAAATATATTACTTATTATATTTCCAGCCCTGCAGGACACGTTCATCCTTGCCACTGATGCTGACGTCAAATTCAACTGCGACTCAGTGGAGGCTCTGCTTGACGTCATGATTCGTGACGACAGCAAGAACGTGAGTGCAGTTTGTGGCAGAACACAGCCACTAGGATCCAAAGTCCAACCTATCGTTTCTTATCAGGTCTTTGATTATGCCATTGGCCATTGGCTTCAGAAGGTAATTATCGTTAAATTAAATTTATAGGAATATACTGTAGTTGGTTTAGCTTTAGATAAACACAAATGGGACACAAACTACATGTAACTATTTTGTTTTTCCCCAAGATTTCTCCAATACTATACCCGCTTTCTGCGATGGATATTACTAAGGCATATAAACTACATACCTTACTACTTACTTCTTTCGAGCCTAACTGCAGAAACGCCTTTGCCAATATTTTCCATTCATTTTCAAAATTGCTTTAATTGCAATATGATGGCTACTGTATAAGGTAGCATGCAATATTCCAAACTAAGCACATACAGGTGTATATATAATAGGTAATAGATCTTAACTGAATATATTATAAGTGTGCCAACCACATGCTGGGCAGTGTACTGTGCGCCCCAGGCTGCTTCAGTCTGTACCGTACCTCGGTGCTCAGGAAAGTTGTGGCAGAATATGGAAGCAATACGAACGGTGGCTTTGAGTTTCTGTGCAAGGACATGGGTGAAGACAGGTGGCTGTGCACTCTTATGGTGAGTGTTTGATAATTATGTCTCATATTTGTCATCTTAACCTCCTGTTTTGGAATTGAATAAACGTTGAAAAAGTTAAGGAACATTTTGAAATGTAATTTTGAGAAATCTGCCCAAAAAGATGTCAATTTCATGCCGTAGTATCAAGTGAATTTACACAAAAAAGACCCCCCCTTTTTTTTAATGAAAATATAGGTCAAGCAGGGCAACCATCTTGAATACACTGGTGCTGCCGAGGACAAAACTTTCTGCCCAGAAACATTCGAAGAGTTCTTCAAACAGAGGCGCCGCTGGATCGTCTCTACTATAGCCAACATGTGGTTGCTGCTCAGTGACTATGGCAGCATCTGCGCCAAGAATGAGAGGATATCTCGACCATTTATTCTGTACCAGGCGTTCCTAATGGTCTCCACTCTGATTGGGCCCGCTACTGTGATCCTGGTGGTGGCTGGTACGTTCTGGCTGCAGTGCATTTTTTTTTTTTTTTTGTATCGTAATATTTAATGCTGCATTCGATTGTTTTGTGATCTGTTGCAAAATCGTAAAGAAGATCACACAATATCACACCACTAGCTTACAACTGCTTATTTATATATATCTATTTGAATATCTTTTTTATTAGTTCAATTTTAAAATTCAAATCATTACCAAAAAACCGTTATGAACAGAGACTTTGCTCTTTAAAAATAACTCATCAAAGGTTGGCAATTTTGTCAGGACATCTGTGAGGATAGGTGTATCAAAGACATTTTACGCTTCACATTAATATACTTAATATCCAACCCACAGGCCCAATGAAAGTAAGCAAATTGCTCCCGAAAAAATATCTAAAATCCACCAGAATTCAAATGTTTTTCTACAATCCAGGTGGTTTGCAGTATAGTTATGGCGTCAACGACATAGCGCTGGCGATGGTCTTCGTAGCCATCTCTGTTTTCTACCTGGTGGTGTGTTTGTTTACGAAGCACGATACTCAGATAATGGTAGGTTATGTTTTACATTATTCTGCAAAGTATAATCTATGAGCTTCAGGTTCGTTGCGTGTTGGCGTTTTCAATTTCAACTCTGTATGTGCACGTAAATATGGCAATAAGATTATACAGACTTGACATTTAATATGGAATATTTTTTCCAAATCATTTTTCATCAGTTTTTTCCTATTTTGCAGACTGATAAATGAAAATAAGGATTAAAATCGTGTTTTAATAACTTTTAATTATCTCTTTGATGTCATCGTGACTTCAGTTCATTAATGGAATTCGCCAGAGAAGCAAACAAAAACAAATTGCCTATTCTATGTCATGCGACAACCATTAAAAGGGATATTTTGGACCTCCATATTTTCCAAATTATTATCTGTAAAAGAGTTAAACGCTCCACAAAGGACCCTCATGTCAGTGTCTAGTCACAGCAACGGTCGCTGTTACGCCTGACTTCTTCTGGCTGCTACCAGCGCTCTCAAGTGGCAAGGCATTCCTTGGGATAGGTTTTAAAGTTTAATCTGGAATAACATTCCAGGCATCCGTAAAAACCTGCCCAATTTGGTCCAATTTTGTTGTAGCACATGTAGGCCATTGATTCGGAGAGTAATGGCCTACCCATATATTGTCTATGGGGTTCAAATATGGCGGTTTTGATGACCAAGGTAGCTGCTCATTCCCCTGGTTCTGTAAGAAAACTGCTATTAAAAGTGCTCTGTGTGAACCGGCAATCTCACCGTGCAACCTAAAATTGTTCCTAAGTTGTCCCCTATCAAATGATAGCCAAGTGGTTCCCAGATTATTTTTTTATTTGATCTGGTTCAGGTTTTCGTCGATGACTACCATTGGTGTTTTGGCACCAATGCGGTATCCACTTCAAATACTGACGCTGTTGATGACCTTAGTCACTTTAGACGCGGCACACTCTTCGTCGTTGGCCTCTTCTGGATGTCTGTTTTGACTGTTGAGCGGTACAGGTGAAATCTGACCTCAATAAAGAAAGCCACGAGATTTCAGTGTTCAACCCAGAATTAGTCAAGGTCCCCAATTCAACACCCTGAGCTTCAGAGATAACTTGCCACTAACCTCTTCACTAAGCCTATCTTCATCGTGTCAAGTTACCTCTGACCACATTCGATAGCCCCCGCCGCCCGCCAATCAAATTTAAAGCCCGCACTCAATGACTCATTGAACGATCTAGCCAATGAACGCGAACGAGTCAAAGCGCGCTTTGTTCAAATCCGGACCAATCAAAGATAAGGCTGAATATCAGGGACTTGCCCTAACCTGTGGGCAGCAAGCAAAATACATCATCCCTCAGTAGATAATGATGCAGGGCCTCAAACTGCTCTGGTTTCAATTCCGATATACTCATATTTTGCAAAGAATCAAGAGATAACTTAACACATTATTTTAAGTAGTCACTCGTAGGAGACGCCATGCTTTCTTTGTGTTCGGTTATGCACTCGGAACTACTCGGATGTCTCCGCACTCGACAATAACTTTGTTGTTAGTATGGAGCTTGCGGAATCAGCCGAGGATTGCCGATTGACGGTCAACCAATCAGCGTTTTCACCAAACTTTGGTGAAAAATTTTGAAACATGGATTCGATTGGCTTATATAAACTAGGTCAAACTATTTTCGTCAGAGGTAACTTGACACGATGAAGATAGGCTTAGTGAAGAGGTTAGTGGCAAGTTATCTCTGAAGCTCAGGGTGCAATTCAATAGAGAAACATACAACGATGTTTTGCTGTTTACAGTGGGTTCCTTGGAGGTCGTCTGGTAATCTAACCTGCTAAAACCAGTTCGGTGTTCTCTAAGGGCCTTGAAAGATGCGTTTTGGTGGTAATTTACCCCTCATTCTGAACGGATTTTGTTTAGTTGCAACAGCATATCCCGAAAGACAGTGGGTCCTGTACCCTGGTGGTGAGATTTCAATACATTGGGTGTGACCTCTGTGTAGGTACATCAGTCTGGGCATTACTCTGTAAAACTGTGCGGACCGTTTCGTTTCGCGCAATTATATGTCTGGCAATGCCTGTATTTTTCGCGCCCTACTGCCACAGATTAACAAATTTGTAAAGCACTGCATAGCTCATTTTACACACTGCAAACCCGACTACTTGCATGCAAAATGTCAAATTCTTCTATGCAGTAGTTGCCGACATATGGATACTTTTTTGACAGAACCATGCTTTGCCAAAGCCAAGCTTTGACCTGCCCAAAGGAGCACTACCCAATTAAATCACTGCATATTACATAATGCAGCAGCGCAACAAACCTGGTAATCAGTTAATTGGTAGCGACACACCTGACTACACACTTATCCATTCACATATCTTATATGAGATTGGAGTTTGTGAAAAAAAAAGCATTTTCACCTAGGCATACATTCGAAACTGAAATATTCCATATTAAATGTCAAGTCTGTATATATGTGAGCAAAAGTGGATATTTGGATATGACAGAGGTAGCCAGCCTCGAGGGTTTAAAACTCGTGTTTTGTGATACATGTACATGTTGCCGAAGGCGGTTGGGATCTGGGTATTAATTGTATTGAGATAATTACTTGACTCAAATACACGAAAGTACAGGGGTATCATCTATATTTTGGCACTGTGTGTGTTGTTTTCGCTGTTCTTCAAAGCGCGATATACAAGTGTATCTATCTAAGAGCCTGGTGCAATTATTGCCTTTTTGCAAGAAAATATTCACTTTACGAGCATTCTTGTAACCATTTTCATCCTCGTGACATTTGCAGCTAGCCATAGTCCTTAGCGCGGCTTTTGCCCTGGTAATGGCAGCGGCCTTTATAGGAACCATACGCCAGCTGGTCAGCGAGTACGGCGACCTGGGCACCATCCTGGCCACGGAGACTGATAGTAAGTGGTCATAGGCATTGACCAGGGCTTTAAGTGTAACGTTAGGGGGATAAATTAGTGCACAATATTTCTAGGAAACTAGATTCTAATATCTTCAAATTATGAAGAATAAATATAAAGCATAACAGTAACTAAAAAAAAACGTCGTTTAGATACTGTGTGATCTGATTTCCATTGGTGTACTAGTCTGTTTTCTTATATATTCTTTAATAAAAAAAATACTATTGTATATTTAAAGGGGCGCCATACGGGCAGTTTTAATGTATATACATTTTCAAATATTTAACATGTACAAAAACGATTTTGGCGTCATTGTTTTAATGTTGTTTCGGAATGAAGTCAGTAGCGACAGGCAAACTTTGTCTTTTTCAGATCCCTGGGAGCTTCCCATACCTGTAAGCTCACTGTACATCACTGCAATCACCGGAATGTTTATTATTACCGCCGCCCTCCACCCGACGGAATTCTTCGACGTAGTTCACGGTACGTCAAACCTGCAATGCCCATACGTTTACTTGGATTATAGACCACGCCTCATTTGCGATACGGCAAATAATGTATATGAACGCGTTGCATATCAAAAGCATTTCGTAGGTATTATTGTTTATGATTCAATAAAGATGTATTTGAATAATAGCTAAAATATTGTAGTAAAATAAATTAGTAATGCAAAAGGTGATTTAACAGACGAAAGTGCAGAGCGATATAAATTAATGCTGAATAATTATTGCATTTCAGGTTTAACATATTTGTTTTTCCTACCCGCTGGATATCTTTTCCTTACAATATACAGTATATGTAATATAACGGACCAGTCTTGGGGTGAGTAGTACATTAAGGGCATATTCTACAAATTAATAATGACGAAAAGGGTTCGAAGTACTTTATTTTGAACACCGTTTACGTACCCCGATTTATTTTCCAAATATTCAATTTTTGTTATACTTAGTTTTCCAATCCACCTTCCTCTATTATTATTATTATTATTATTATTATTACTATTATTATTATTATTATAAGTTTAATCCCTTCTTTATCTCTCCCAGGAACACGTGAAGGTAAAAAAGCGGGACCTGGTGGGGGGTCCACGTGGGAAAGCATCATGGCGTTCTTCAAATCTTGCTGGTGAGTCAACTTGGCATTTGGGATATTTTTCTTACACGGTTAAGTTGTATGTTATATGGTTTAAAGTATCTTTGTTGGGCCAAACAGATTTCACCTACTATTGAAAAGTGGGGACATTTTTAATATTTAATATAAGTGTTCTCATATGAGAATTGCATTCAGACTAAGGCGGGTAGTTTTTTTTACAGTTATAATAATTCTTATTCTTTTTAAAGATTCAGTAAGGCACAGAGGGCTATATCGTCTATATATTTTAGCTGTCCCAGGCCACCTGTGCCCCAAGTCGAGACAGCCACGGTGAAAGATGAATCCTCTGATGAACGCACGAGCAACTACTCGACCATCAGCCGAGAGAGTAAGCGTTCGAGTAAGTGGTCTTTTAAGTATCATCGTATTTTCTTTCTGTAAAGAGGCACCAAAGACATGTTTTTGGTGTTTTTCGTGATATTTGCACTGTCCTCGCTTAGAGTAAACAATGGTATGTTTGCTCATATACATGTATGTGTATCTTGGATTCCCAATATATACCTAGAGCATTGGTCACAAAACCTTTATTCTAATTCAGGCAAAGGCCGACCCATGACAGTTATACTGGAAGACGAGGATAGTTCTGATGACGAAGAACAGGACCCATCTACCGAAGAGAAAATCAATGCGAAGGACTGGCTCTATTCGCAGTTTTATCAGGGAGAGATAAAGGTTTGGGTCGTGTTTTATTCTTACCGTATTTATTGTTTTTCGATCATTTTAATCTGCTACAGCAATTTGTTTAAGATTTAAACATTAATCAATAGGCTGTCTTGTGTTAAGAGCCCCGGTTTATGTACTGGTAGTTTTTATTTGAATCCATTGAAGGTCTATATTGAAAGTCTTTCCGAGTCCACATTTAGACCACATTCATCAGTGTTAAAAAAGTTTTCTTTTCAACCTGATTGATCATTGATGTCTGTTTGACTATTTCTGCCTCCAGTTTGTCTGCTTGTAAACACGTTGTTTTAAAAATTTAATTTTTAGGCATGTGCGTCCTACTTTGTGAAGTTAGGTTACGGGGATACCACGTTCATTGCTGGCATGGGAAGAGAGGTTAGTCGTGTGTTTGCAAGCATGCGTGCGTGCATGCGTGTTAGAACATCATTTTAAAATTGTGCGCCATATTTGGGCAGAAAATCATTTTACAGAAACTTTAACTCATAGCATATCAAAGAGGTTATAAGGAATCTCCTATTACTCGATTTGTTTTTAATGGACTTGTCATAAAAGTTCACGTCACATATCCCAACAATTGTGTTTTGGATATTGTTTTCATTTGCATCTTTGCGTTTAGATTATGTAAACACTATAAAGAAAATGTCCTTATCGAACAGAAAATATGTAGAAAAAAAAGAGATGTTAAGGGGCATATATATATATATATATATATATATATATATATATATATATATATATATATATATATAGTGCTTAAAGGATACTGAACAGTTTCTTATGGTATACTAACTGCATACAATTGTTCACCTTAACTCGTGATAGGAGGTGAGATCTGTAGGGATAGTGAAAGAGGACCACATCGACGACGCTTTGGCTGAAATTGCACGATTACCAGCCTTTGAGATTGATCCCTGGCTGCCTCAAACAGACGTATTTATATTTTTACAACTATTTTACTTCGATAATCTATACGGTGTCTTGTACGATAACATATAATATATTGAAGTAAATTTTTTCTCTGTGCAGTTAAAATGGTAAACTGTTGGTTTACTTGCATTTGTCATTCATTCTAGGCGAAAAGAAATATTTGAATATCTCTCACCGTTTTTATATTTAGGAGGAGAAGCTATTGTGGATAAAAAAGGTTGGTCTCATGGACTACAAAAAACCGCTGTTGGAAAAATTTGATGACCTACCAAAGACGACGGAACTTAGCAAACTAAGAATTAAATATGGCATCCACAAGCCAGGTAAAACTCCAACTCATTGTTAAAGACTAGCACAGGATAAATGATACTACAATTGGCTCTGAGGAACCCAGTACTTCCTCTTCTACGTAGTTGTAAAAAAAAAAAAAACTTCACAATTCTAGGAATTTTTTCGCCCATGCGGCCCTCAGTTCACATGGTGTGTTTGTCTTCGTCTTTGATTGTACATACGCCGGGCCGTGTTTTATTCTAAAGCCTCTCCTTGAGCCTTTCCATACCCCTGGATCTTAACTGCCAAGGCCTCGTATACTGTAAAACATTTTAAGTTCTTTGGCATCCAGATTTCCATGCAGTATGACAAAACCGAACTATTATTAATATAAACCATTTCCTAAATAGCTTGAGAGAAATTCAACTTCTGCTTTTTTTCTTTCTTTTCTTCATTCATTTTGCGAGTTTATAATTGGCACTGTTCAGATTTTTATCTAAATATCTAAATTATTCACCTGTTTGTCTTGAAGAAACCACTTCCTGGAGTGAGCCCAAATGTCATTGTCGATATAGAACCTACATGGACGTTGTAGTGGTGAGAGAGAGAGAGAGAGAGAGAGAGAGAGAGAGAGAGAGAGAGAGGGTTGGGGGGGGGGGGAGAACACTCAATTGTCAAATAATTTTCTATATACGAATTGCAAACCATTACAGGTCACCTTAAACGACTCTACTATGTTATCCAAAAGTTACGAGAACCAACGGAAGGTGCGTAGCTCCCAAGGGCGTGTTTCACTGATTGCTTCGTTTATTTTAATAAATTAAAAATAGCTAACATGACATAATAATTATAATTATCGTCCTGTAACTGTATTTGTCACATGTAGTAAAGCACAATTTCAGAATACTACGCTGGCATTAGTTTCATCTGTATTTGATGTTGAAAATTAAAATTAAAGTGCAATCTATTTCAGCTGAGAGTCGGAGTATGGAGGTACGCCAAGAGGTCGCTGAGTACCAAGACACTCCTCTCTCAAACGATGAAAGCGCCTTCTGGCAACAGCTGGTGGAAGCAAGGTTAAAGCCAGAACCAATGTTCAAAGAAAAGAAAAGAGAACTAGAAAGTAGGACTCCTAATATTCAAACAGTCAAATGGCTGGAATGAAAATGAATCATTTATCTTTGGTTGCATTAATATTAAGTTCGATTGAATAGTTCCACAAAAATCAAATCTGAACTTCGACGACATTAGATGTTTTTACTCTTATGGTTTAATCTGATTAAATCTGAAATCTCGCCAAGTAAAGATTGCAAGGTTATCGTTTTATAGGCAGCCATTTCAATTGCGAATCCGATATATAAATGTTAGTAACACTAAATCCGACAGAAATGCAGATGAAGCAATTCTGTAGTCTATTTATCGTCGGCAGGTGAGTTGGTAGATCTCCGCAAGACGGCGCTGATGTGGTTTGCTGTGGTCAACACCTTGTGGCTGACCATTTTTCTGACTCTCGGGAGTCTGGGCAGAACTGATCCCACCAAGCCGAACTTGTACGTGTTTGGTAACAACCCGTTAGGTACGTAGTGAGTGCGTTTAATGTGTACGGGTGCGCGTGTACAAACATAATTAAGTACTGGTAGGCATGACTGGTTGATTTACATCTTTTTCTTTTTTCCTTTTTTCAAACTTTCGTTTGAAATAATTGATTGTCACTCTTTTAAGTCTGTTCGTTCAAAACAAATATTTCAAGTATATTTTGTTGTCATATGAAATATTTACACTGGAAACGAATACCATGAATTTCATTTTAGGTTTGGTGTTTTTATTCATCTTCTGCATCCTCCTAATAATCCAGTTCTTCGCCATGTTAGCACACCGTTTGCTCACGTTCGTGCACATTATCGCTCGCGCCAAGTTTGACTGTGGAAAACGCCCGGATGATGACGTCACTAGCAGCAATAGACAGACGGTGCAGATGGAAGAGGTGGATTACGCCGAAATCACGCGATAATGCTAGAGAATAATGACAATCGAGTCGCACCAGGCAAACACGGGAAAATGGATGTGCATGAAAATAAGTTCCGATTATGAACTTCGACATATTAATTTTAATGCATGTAGCTATTGACTGACTTGTACAACGGTTTCGACCAATCTGTATATACTGTATGTCAGCTAGTAAAGCAGAGATCAACAATTTAAGTTAAGATAGACTCTAGAAATCGTGAATTTAAATATCCACATGATTATTTTTTCATTTAATTTTTGGAGTTTTTTATTTCAGGCTGTTCATTATAACTTTTTACGACACATGACTGAATCACACTGTATGTTTTTTTTCATGTGGAAAATATATGCGGTGCGCCTCAGGTTGACTCTCTTGCTAAGCTCCTGGATTAACCCCCATTAAAGCCGGTGTAACAAATCTGAGGGTCCTTGAAACTGAGAGTCCGATCTCCATTTAGTTAAAATGGTTAGGGTTAGCCTGACCCAAGTGAGTCTAAATCTAGGGGGAGGCTTGTCTGTACAAATGAATGGGAAGCGGAATCTCTATTATTGGGGATCCTCGGTCACGTTTCACCGGTAGCTAAGCTTGAAACCCACACTGTAAAGCGGATTTGGATATATTTGTGTGTGTGTGTGTTTGCGTGTGTGTCATCCGCGTTATCAAGATGCCAATATGTTTATCAAGTGTATCAACCAGCACCCTAAATTACATGTATCATATAAGACAGTCAACCTCGTTCGTTTTTATTCTATTTGTAAAATTGCTTTCTGAATAATAATCTTACTCATTAATAAACACTACAGTATCAACATCTAGTGCTTTTGTGGAATATGTGTTTTCTAAGCTACATGACATTCGTAGGCGTACTGAGAAGTGCAAAATATTTACCATTTCAATCAATGTCGAAGTGGAGACAAAATGCATTCTTGGCTAGTTTTGGTCTAATGACTGGTTGTTTTTCTATCCTCCTATCATTAAATCTTTTATGCTCTCAAAATTTTAGTAATATTTGACAGGAAACAAAGTTTCACACTAAAGTGTTAATATCCTTCAAATCTGGCAGTTTCCATGAGAGCTTGGACAGATAAAAAATTTACAAAGTCATAACTGTCTATGCACGTTTCTGTTTTACTTGCTCAACGAATAACAAAACATATATTAATATTCAAAGGAAATTCAAGACTGCATCAAAAATGATAAATCGACTCTAATCATAATTGATGGAAGTGTTTCACACTATCATTTGTGCAATTCAGCATCTAGACGACTTCCATGAATGATACAAGCAACTTACTAGTACAAGCCTGCAATGCATAATAGCATACGATGACGTTTATGAAAATTTGATCTAGTCGGATTGGATACAGACAAAACACACAAACACACAACATACTCTATGTATATTAGTGCATGACCTTTACGTGCCCAAAGATCAACAAAATGCTGTCCTTTTATTTCATAATTTGAATTTTTAGTCAGGTTGGATATTCGCGGACAAAGTTATTTCTCTGAGCGGTGTCCACATCCTTATTGAAATTTTTATACGTATCTGGCGGGTAACAAGCGTGTATCCTTGGGTATTTTGGAAGAATGCTATATAAATATCCGGATGTCAACTACTAACCATTACGAAATTTAGTTTGTTTCTTAGTGTTTTTCATATTACCAATGCCCCTATGATATATGCATGGTAGGAAACAAGTGTTTATCTGCCTAACGGTAGCTAGAACCCTTCCCAATGGCAAGTTAAGGTCATGTAATGATGTGGATAGCACTAAAGAACAAACTTTACTTGATAAAGAAAAATGTATCAAAATAATGAATATATTTACTATTCATATTAATGAATGACACGTTAGTAACAGTTAGTGCCCTTAGTGCAGGAGACAATACGAAAAGCGGGTTAAGTCTGATTGATTGATTTGTTTAAAGAGATTTAAAAATCTCCAAATATTCAGTTTAACAAAGTCGAAGTGGTTATGGAGGTCGTAAATCCGTATAATTTAATATGGCCACCCCCTGCCTTCGCACTATATAGGTCACACAGGCAGTATACTGGCGCTGTGCGGACAGTGCATGGCAGATGTACGGACAAATGTATTCTAGGCTATTTGTATATTTCTTTGTGCACAGCTTTGCCGCGCAGTGCCAGTCTACCTGGTCCACCCGAGCAAATGATGTGATGGTTGTCCTCTTCCCCAGTGTTCTGCCAGTAAAATTGTGCATAGCGAAGTTATTTATCAATTTGGTCTGGAACGACATAGCAAGTATTTGATTGGTCTAGACCAGGCAGCTTTTATTTAGGACCCCATTCCCATACCTAGATCGATCGATAAGGTTCGACCCGTCTCCGAGGGGATTCTCGCTACATTACATACAGATTACGCGACTTTGATGTCTGGCACTCCTACTAAAGCTGTTAAATGATAGTTAATCGCCCCCTAACAGCTTCAGTAGGCGTGTCAGACACCAGGGCCGCTTAATCTGAATATAATGTAGTGAAAAACCCCTCGGAGATGGGTCGATACAGCTAGATCGATCTAGGTATGGGAATTGGGTTTAGGAGAGCACGTATATTAACAGCGCGGAAGGAACACATTAGAATTTCGTCGCGTTAGATAGACGGACACAGGCAAGTGATTCAGACGGACAATTGCAAACCTCGAACGTGTCACCAGTGAAATATGAAGAACATATCAAACAAAATCTTATTTTTCTGCATTCTCATTCCATTCATATTCACGGACACAATCTACAAATCGCGATCGGCAACATTCAAGCTGTTTAAAGATTATAAATTGCCAGACAATTTATTGACAACCGTCACGCGCAGAGGACAACATATGTCAAAACGTTCTTGCAGTATGGATTGTCTCAGGTAAGTATTCCTTGCGTACTGTGTTCGATATATTATAAAAATTGATATCCATTTTTTTACCACACATGTGGCAAGTTATGTCAAATTCTCAATGTTAAGCAGGTAAATTAAGCACGTTCTTAAATTAACACATGGCCTTAATAATAGCTTTAATCCAAAGATTTTAAAATATTATCTTAAGACTTACTTAAGCCTGCATTGGACATGGTCGTGTTAAGAAAATAGATTATCTTGGTTTTAGGCTATGTCTTTCTCAGGTGAGTATTGAACAAAGCCCAATTTGTTAAGTTTGAATTTGTCACTCTTTTCAGCACCGAACTACATATTGCATATGTGGCTTTTCGCGAGTGTCGCTTTTTGCAAGTTTTATTAGACACATGTTAATTTTTTATGTACAAGGTTTTATTGGGCCACACTTTCATCCTTACCCTGTTAAGTGCATCTATATAATGTAATGGCAACAACGTAAAATGATATCCAACTAAGGCAAACACAAAATTCTAGTCAATGGACTTAAACAGTAACAACGTAAGCGACCAAGCCCCTTAGCAAAATGAAAAAAAAAATTGCAACAATATTTCAGCCATATTGTTGCAAACTAAGTTTTCTGCAACGACTTTGCAAGTAAAATTTTATTGCTGCTAATTTGCAGCCATACTGTAAAAAATTTGCAAGAAGGACTGGCAGTGTGCGGCAATTTTGCGGCAAATTCGCAACGAATTCGCAGCAGGCCTGATATTTTGCATATTTTTAAGGGGCATTTCATTTTCCTCCCTTGTGTTACTACATTACTGGGCGAATCATCATTTTCAACATCTTATCTTGTTTATTGAGAACATGTGTGTTCATTGTGTTTTGAAATGTACAAAAATCAACCAGAAGTAACATTTCCTTAAAAAAAACTTCTGGCCCTAGGTATGTACCGGTATAAACGAGTTGGCTGCATTTGTTGATTTCATGATTTTATAGAACGTTAAAGCTGAAAAAATAGCATTGCGGACAAATTTATTTATTTATTTATTTATTTATTTTTATTTTTTTTGCATATAACACTCAAACTAAATTTTATTTGCATTTTCTAAATTCAGAAAGTTATGTTAACATCAATACATGACTGTCAAATAATGGCGTTTCAGTAGTTGCAATGAAAGATCACATATGATCATGGCTTCTCCTAGGTACTTTCATTTATACATGTAGTTAAATTGATGTAATCTGCAGAACATGAAATAGCATTATGTGTTTGGTCAGCTGTACAAGTCATTACAGGTTAAATATACCAGAGAATATTAGTTAAGATAATCACTGATTGCAATTAACCTAAGATGACAGGAGATCAAGCTGGGGGTGAACAAAAGCTAGTCTAGCTACTTACACTATTAATATACTGTGCATGTACAAAAATGAAATTACCAGCAGAACTAGCCATCTCAAACAACAATGGGGCACTTGCAAGACATTGCCTCAGAAACAACATGTTGTCAAGCCAGTAAACGAGACATTTCAAGTGTGTACTGAGAATTCACTGTTCACGCATATAGAATATGAATTAAGGGTAGTTAAAGGTGTGGAGAATGTAAAGGAGAATGTTGAGGAGACTGCTGAGCGCGCCTCTTAATTACTGTTAATTACTGCTTACATAAAAATTTCAAAATATTTACTTAGACTAAATTCTGTACAGACATGGTCAATAAAATGCCTGTTAGAACATTTAGCCCGTAAGACTAGCAGGCTTTTAGCTTTTTTGCTCAAACTTTTACTAGTTATTTTAATGTGGATTATTTTAGAGCTGGCTGGGACGTGTGCAAGGCAGTAAACTTTCAAGCGGATGAACGTTTATGTACATTATTACCCGTACAGAAAAATGCCACAAATCCTGCAGTCCCGTCTGTTGGCACTACGTACATGGAGCCTAAAATTGGTGAGTTGTTCACTGACCAAACAATTTTGTGTGTTACACACCTCGGGCCCTCACGGTTAAAACGTAACAATGAAAAGAAGAACATATCACGTAATCACTGTTACTTCAGTGAGGTCAATCCAAATGAAGCATTTAACGAGGACATCTTAGTGTTTTATACCCCCGTCACACTAGAGGCAGAATGAGCAAGAATGCCGTCGGAAAGACAATTCCTGGATATTATTCGAAGAGCATTCTAAAAATTCCGAGGGCATTCTAAATATTTTTACCCATTGTTGTGGCCGGCCCGAATGATTTGCTCATGTTAAAAACTTTCGAAGTGCATTTCAAGTGGAAAATTATCGAATGGCATTTGAATAGTATTCTTACTGCACTATGACTGGATTCTAAATATTCTCACGGCATTCCGACAAATTCGAAACATTCTGATCACATTTGAGGGACATCCGAACTGGCAAGACACTTCAAATCCTGCTAGAATGAGCCGGAATGCTACTCGAATGCATCTCGGTGGCTGCCGAAATCCTCTTCCGTCAGCAATCGAACTACACTCGTACGACATTCGAAGTGTATCGATATTCCTAGTTTTCCAACTACATTCGAGCTGCATTTGAGAGATGATACAGCCAAAAATTTTCACGAATCATTCCAGGCGGATTCAAGCGCATTCTGAGTATTCCAACGGCATTTAGGTCAATTTGAAATTTCTTCTTGAATGTAGTACGAATTTTGAAAATTCTTCATTCCGGTTTGTTCTGCTTGATTCCTGCTGATTCCGATAAGTGTGACGGGGGATTTATTGAGGTATACATGTAATCCCGCGTTCTTACTTCAAGTGGCAATACAACGTATATTTGAGAAACTTTCCCCATCTGAACCTGTCCCTAAGGGCCTGTCTTTATCAGCTTGTCAGCCAGTCGCCTGGACCTCTCTCCTCCGTACAGCCCAGTCTAAAGTGTTATGTGGTATACAAATGAGGATAAACAACCCAGTCCAAATATTTAGTTTTTTAGTCACTGAAACATTTCTGAATATTAAGGCTGGAATGATGAGACGTGCCTTCGTTATTATTGATCAAAAAAAGAGGTGGCATTGTACGGTTAAACGCGTCTTTTTGTTCATCCGATTCAATGAAAAAACGTTGTTCATCGTAGTCAAACAAACCTACCTTTCAAAGCTTATCTGTACACCTGTTATGTCAACAATATAAACATCTTTTTAAAAAAACTATGGCAGTTTTTCAATAGCTTTGCCTCTTTTTTAGTAACTGCGAGGGGTTGTATATACTACTAAAGATATACACGATACACCTGCATGCAAAAATGAGGTCTAAAAAGAGTTTATCAATTGTAAGGATAATGATCAAGCAATAAAAAGAAAAGAATTCTAAATATGAACCACTCTGTTAGTATTTCGATCATGTTAAAAGCAGAATCAAGAGCCAGATTTGGTGCTAAGATTCTGGCAACATTAAGGCTTTTTGAGGACCTACACACACTGGACAAAAGAAGTGTCACCCCTACTGAGCCAATACTATGGGGGAGATAAATGACTGTGGAATGATATGCTCCTGGTATCATTTTATTAACATCAAATTTCACAAAAAATCACAAAATGAGAACAAAATATACATTCTACCAAAATATGCAGTTTCAAGTCCAAAATTAGTACTTAGTGGCATAGCCACGTGACCTAATAATAGGTGCCAGTCTACGAAGCAAGGTTTCATATAATTGTCTGATGCGTTCAGGGCTTATGCTGGCCCAAGCATGAAACACTGAATATAACAGAGTTTCTCTGCTGGTAAGACGGGGATTTGTCAAAAGTTTTGACATATCATTCCACACATTTTCTATTATGTTTGCATCCGGACTCTGGGCAGGCCACATCACCCTGCGAATGTCCTGTTGGTCAAACCAATCATCAACTGCTCTGGGCCTGTGACAAGGAGCATTGTCATCCTGGTGAACAAATGGATAATTCCTGTCACCAAACATGTTAGTAATAGATGGTAGCAAGCCTGACTCCAAAACATCGATATATTTCTAGTGATTCATGTTTCCATTAACCACTATCAATTGGCCCAAGCCATGGATGCTGATGCAGCCCCACACCATGATGAATATGCTGCTCCAGGTTCGAAAATTCAGTGCATGTGGTTCAAATGCTTTACCAGCAGTTTGCCAGCATAGTACCCGTCTGTCATCAGAGGTCAGACCAAAGCGACACTCATCAGAAAAATATATAGGACCAATTGTCATGAACTGTCCAGTTCCAGATCCTGTTGACCCTAGTTTACTCTACGTTGCCTGTTTTGTAACGATATAATTGTCTTGCTTCCCTGCTGTACACTCTCTGAGCATGTAACCGACGCCTAGCAATTTTCACAGACACATTCTTATGTGTGAAATTGTTCCACTGTGTTGTCAACTGACAAGCAGTGTCGAACTTTGACAACCTGGACATCAAAATCAGTCGTCGGTCTTCACGGCCAGTAGTTTTTCTTGGACGACCCATCAGAGGCAATTTGTCTCTTGATCCAGTGTTTCTATACCGAGACCAGACCCTCTGCAAGGTTCTGACTGAACAATTCAATTGTATCGATATTCTGACATTGCTTATATTCCGCCTCTTCAGGTTAATAACTTGCACCTATAACCGTTAGATAACTGCCTGTATCTTGCCATATTGGAGGAAGACAGGAATAACATTTGCTGTACATGTACAAGACCAACAATACAATTCAATGGTATAGCGGTTTTATACTCATTAGTCACATTATAAGTAGACCAGGTATTATAAATACCCAAGATCTGCCTACTTTTATTACTCTGAGTTAGGGGGTGACACTTCTTTTGTCCAGTGTGTGTATTATTTTGACTGTTACTCGCATATCACCCAAGTTTAGAAATTTAGGCTGAATGGATAATTATATCATTTTTTCAGATTTTAATAGTTCATTTGACACTGTAATGTGCAGAGCAAATATTAGCGTGCGACAAGTGAGATAAAAGCTGATAATGTCAATCATCTTGATATAAACTGTGAAAAAGAAAACAAACTGCTATCTTATTATGTTATTTTCACAGCGTTGCGATCATGTACAGAATGGAAAAGTGTGTACGGAAGCACAATCAGTGGCAGTCACATGATAGACCCTGACGGCCCAGAAACTGGTCTAGAACCCTTCCCGGTGTACTGCGATTTTCAAGAAAACCCACCTGTGGCCAAAGTCTACCACAATAAGGCAGAGGTCACTGTTAATGGATACATAGAACCTGCCTCTTACCACACAGACATTGATTATGGTAAGATATAAAAACTTGCTTGATCTTAAATATGTTTTGTTAATTTATCTTTTCTTTTTTTAACCAGAGTATGTGAGATGCTTTATTGTCTCCGGGTATTGTACCGCCAGATGGAGTAAGCGCATCTGTATGGGAAACATAACAAAAAGGGAACACCACCTCTAGTGTTGTTCTTGACAAGCTCTACAAAATGCAATAAACAAGAGTTCTCAAACTTTATTTTTTAGAAAATTAAAACTGATAACAAAATCGTGTGGAAAAGTAAAAGGCCAAACCCAAGGTTACGGTAAAATTGTAAAATTAAGATAATACTTCTCATCCAAGTTCAATAGTAAATATAAGAGCTTGAAAATTTGCGAAGTGCAGTTCTGGTGAAAAGTACTAGTAGGTCAAAGGTCGATTTCAAGGTCACAGTAGGTTTACCAATATGACTTCCTATTTAAGTTCAGTAGTAATTAACGTTGTGCATATCTCTAACTGTGGAGAGTGAAGTTCATGGTGAAAAGAAGGTTAAATGTCAAATTCAAGGTTATAATAACATTGCCAACATATGACGTCTTATTCAATGTCAGTAGTAAATGTGGGCATATCTCTGTCAGATTTGGAGACATAAGGGTCAGGAAATTTGCAAAGTGCGGATCACGATGAAAAATAGGTCAAAGGAAAAATTCAAAGTCACAGTAAGATTGCTCAAGTTCAAGTTCAATAGTAATTATGGGTGTATTTCTCCTAGTTTTGGAGATATAGGGGTCAGAAATTTTGACAGTGCAGTTCACAGTGATAAGTAGGTCAACGTCAAATTCAAGGTCACAGTAAGATTGCCAATATATGACTTTCAATTCAAGTTAGTATTTGGAACGAATGTCACCTGTACAAAGTAATGGAAAGCGGACTACAGTTGCTGGCGGACTTACATTCCTGTTAAACCTGGACTAAAACCATAAGCACCAACAGCGCTATATAACCGTCGGTTGATTCCGCCCTCATTTAACCATCAATGCTGTTGTGCACGGAGTTGTGCGTCATGCCTTACCTCGTGATTTGACGAAAGTGCAGTTTTAAATGTAATTTTGGCTATCGAGTGATTGATTTATCCTTTGGCATGTCACCTTAGGTCATATAAGAACCTTGTGGAAGAAGTTTCTATGTGGTTTAGGTAACCTATGCTTGTTTATTATTTAAATTTAACTGTGACAAAATGAAATTTTGAAGTTTCAGAAGTCACAAAAGGTAATACAGTTTAAGGAGATCTGATATTATATCTTCGTGCACAAATGTACAGGGGGGGGGGGGGTATCATGTCAAGCATACTTATAAGTAAAAAGTGTTCCACTTTGATGAAAATTCGCGCCCCTTTGCCTTATGAAATGCATACGGTTTCTCTTTCCCAGAGTTGCCCAAGGCACAAATGCTAAGCATCATCGAAGCGTCAACGAACTGCAGACAGTTTTTAAAGGTGAAATGTTCTGGATCCGCTCTCTATGAGAAACTTCAGTCACGACATAATACCTACTGGAGTTCACGCGATGGCGAGAGGATGCTCTACTGGGGCGGAGGAGATCCGAACGGATGGGGCTGCGCATGCGCTCTTGATAATTCATGTGTTGGTGAGCATTTTGTGCATTGTATCAAAAACAGCGACTACTTAATTTTTAACATGTAATGTCACCATAAAAATATCATCTACAATTCATTTGAGCAGATATATTAGGATACCTACCCACCAAAATGATAATTTCTGACCATTTAGTCTAAAATGCTTTGGCAGGATACCAATTACCATACCCTAAATGGTTGCATGCCACTGTGTATTTTCGACACAATGGGCTCTGATTGCATTGTCAACACCAAGTGCAAAAAAATCTAAAAACAAGAACACAGAATTGAGTCGAACTAGCAGTTCCAGCCTGTAATACCACTTTTCTCATATTTCCTGTGGCCTGAGATACCATATCCGTCATTTTGTTACCCGTCTTGCGAGACAGTTTTATATATAGAATGCTCTGAAATAATGAAAGAAATAAACAATCTAAAACCCAGCCAAAGCGAAGGCTTCATATGAATCAATATGTTTTCATTGCAGGTGGGTTGGACTGCAACTGCAACGCAAACGACTTCGCCTGGAGAGAGGACGAGGGCTACGTCACGGACAGGACCAAGTTGCCCGTGTCTCAGTTATATGCAGGAGATACTGGTGGCCCCCTCGAAGTACTATACATCTCTATAGGGCCCCTTGAATGTGTTCTCTAGACGTTACTTGAGACACGTCTGTCAAGGGCCAGTCACCTTTACAAAGTTTTGCAAATTCTGAAAATATTAATTCAAATACAAAGCTTTTACCAAACGGCCATTCAGCAAATTAGTAAAACGAAACATAGATTTGTGAACATCTCGATCAAAGTATGTGAGAAAAAATATTTTACAAAAATATTATTATCACGTTTTTTTAAAGGAACCTGATTTTTTACCAACCTGGCCCCTCGGAAAATATATAGTAACAGAAAAATATAGTAAACTTATGGGACAAAAACTGCAGAAACAATACATCCAAAAGCCACCAAAAAATTAAATTTTGTATATATCTGATCACACATGACGTACACAATGGCTTTTATCCAAACAATGCTACTCAATAAATTGAAAGCAAAACAAAATACACAGTTTGACAATTCAAGGGATTGGCGTTTTTATAACTGCCATGGCATAGGCGACAGCAACGCCTGCAATGAGAACAGGCACAATGATACAAATATTTTGAGGTACTGTCGCACAGTATCTGTATTTAAAAATCAAGGGTGTCAGGAGGGTCCTGACTCTCCCTTCAGTTTTTTAAACAATCGCACCAATGGTCTCCTCTTGAAATTTGAATTTTGAATAGCTGGATCATAGCTCAAACTTTACAAAATTGCGCCGTTTTGCCTTTGACCTCTTTAATACAAACATTTTGGGGACCCTTCGGTGGGCCCCGAACCCCACGCCAAAAGTGGAAGGGATGGGAAGCTGACCCTAACCCCCCCCCCCCCCCTGCAAGAAATCCTGGATCCGCCCCTCAAGTTATGGCCTGCAATTAGTTCACCAAATTTTATGGATTTTTAGATTTTGGTGATGATCCATTGATAAATAAATCAATTGATCCATTATGCAACATTTTGATAAAATAAATGTACCAAGAAAGATNAGAAAACCAGTGCTAATCAATTTTTCAAAGTGAGTAAAACACTTCTACAGCTGAAAGTTTTGCATTTGTGATGGTAAAATATGTTCCTATTTGGGGTTGGATGAACAATTTTTTATTCTCCATGGTTCCAGGACATTAAAACTTTGATACACACTTCATCATGTGGGACCTTAAAATAAACATAGTTCCTAATCTGTGCAATAAATATTTTAAGAGCATGCCTGGGACATCATTTCCACTTCTACGTTGGGTTTTGGTGATAAAAGTTTTTTTTTTTTTTCAAAATTTTCTATCATTGTTCTAAGATATGACAACAAGACTATGCAGTATATGGTACCTAATGTAATTAAAACTTATCACAGAATTGAAATCTCTTGAAAATAATCGAAAAATAATACTAAAACACTCAGAAAAATGTACGTAGCTCAACATCAAACGGTTAATAGATGCTCAGCTGTGTTGGTGGCATATTTGGGAATGCTCCACAATAACAGAGATTTTTACCACAGACGTCAGAAATCAAATTCTTTATGCTTTTCTTCTGCCCTTTTGCAAATGAACATTTTCTGTTGCATATTCTGTAAAGTCCATTCCTAAGAATTTCATTTCACTAGAAAAGAGGGCGTTAATAAGCAGGGGCTGCTTTGCATTTGGTGCTTCATTTTTCATGCCATTAACAATTGTGCCAAATGCTACTGGTGGTTTCACTGAAAAATGAGGATCAGAGAGGCGATACCGCCTCCGGATATAGTACCACCAGCTGGAGCAAGCTCATTCATATGGAATCCCCCCCCCCCCAAAAAAAAAGAGACACCACCACCACCAGTCTTGTGCTTGACAAGCTCTATAAAATGCAATCAACAAGAATTCTCAAAAAAATATAACCAAAAATGGTACAATCAAAATTCAGTTCATCATAAAAAGTAGGTCAAAGGTCAATTTCAAGGTCACACTTAGATTGCCAGTATATGACTTCCTATTCAATTGCAATAGTAACTTTGGACCTATCTCTGCCAGTTTTGGAGATAAAAGGGAACAAAAATTTGCAAAGTTCAAATCAGGATGAAAAGTTGGTCAAAGGTCAAGTTCAAGTTCACACTTAGATTGCCAGTATATGACTTCCTATTCAAGTTCAATAGTAACTATGGACCTATCTCTGCCAGTTTTGGAGATAAAAGGGAACAAAAATTTGCAAAGTTCAGTTCATGGTGAAAAAAAGGTCAAAGGTCAATTTTAAGGTCACAGTAAATTGCCTCTAATGATTTTCTATTCAAATTCAATAGTAACTATGGGCGTATCTTTGCCAGTTTTGAAAGTAACGGTTCCCGAATTAGAGACAGTTTTCAGTTTCGGTATCTTATGGCCGCTACTCCCGTGAAAATGCACTGATTGACCCCAAATTCACAGAGATGAAAGATGACCCGAAGGATAACACTTTCCAATAATATTATTGGTTAAGTCTGTGTAGTTACTGAATATCAGCGCAAATAATTTTTTTTTTCGTAAAAAATTTCGTTTTTTCGAAAATTTTGGCCCGTTTGACCTTGAAGCAAAGGTCAAAGATCAAATCCAAGGGCATATTTGAAATCTCCACATATGACTTTCGGTCAGCCGTCTGTAGAAAATTTTCCCATAATTCCTTCGGTAGGGTAGATAATTGGCATTGAATTTTCAAAAATTTTGACAAGGGTGGATTTCAACGAGCGTCACACTGAGGTCAATGCACCGACTGAGACAAAAAAACTGGGGTTCAAGTTGAGGTTATATGTGACCTAAATCCAAGAGATGGGGACAGGGGTCCTTGCAGTCTAGCAGGAGAAGCGGTAACGGTGACTTGTATCCGACGCCAGTACGTGGAGCCAACGGAGCCGGACGAGACGGGTCGGGACTAAAACCATGAGTTCCGCCAGTGTACAAACTGGTGGTACTAATAAGAACATTGTGTTAGGTGAGATATTGATAAACAACACATTTATTAATATCCTCCACGAGAAAACTGCACATTCAATAACCGCGCACCATATAATTACTACACTGTGGTGTAGTGGATGTCTCACAAAGCGTGACAGAATCAATAGAAAGGTGCAATCAGCTAAATGCACTTCAAATTGTTCGATTAATTCAAACGGAATATGGTCTGAATCGTAATGTTTCTATATAAGGTCTCAAGTGTATGGTTGTGAATTTTATCATTCACCATGCTTCTAATGTCACTTGCATATCTAGAGTGCCTGCAATTTACCAGTAGTTAATCATTAAGTGGTACCATTATAATTGTCTTATTTTATTCCAGAAAGACTATTAAATCATATTATACAAAACAATAAGCTGTTTTCCTGTTTTAAATAAAATCGCGCTATGGCACCTGTGCCATCACCACATTCTCTTGGTAGGAAGTTCTGCCGCGTAACCTTGGTGTCTGAATATCATGTCAGCTATCTCCTTGTGCTTTGCATCGCTGTTCATGAATGTTAACCCTGGAAATAATTAAACGCTGTCACTGTAGCATATATAAACAGATTTAAATTTGTTTCAATAAAATTCATGATATCTGGTTTCTTTATCTAATAGTTTGTCTAACAAATTTTATGAAAGAATGTAACCGATCTTAGACCTCAATAAGTGAGAACTCTGGCATCGCCTACCTTCACGTATTAGTTCCAAGTTGCCTAATATTCTTCTATGTGCAGCATAACAATAACTTTTAGCCAACAATACCTGAGAAAAGTGGTAAAAATATATCAATAAACATGAAAAATTATTTTATGTTGTTTACAGGATTCATTTCTTGGTGCATTCAACTGATTATACTGAAACCTGAACATTTAAACTTCAATAGTTGGAAAATCTCATTATTGTTGTAAGCACCAACCCCACCCAAAAAAATCTGAAAACTGCCATTAGTCAAAAAAATGCTGATCCCTCAGACCTTGTAACCATAATTAGGTAGGATATTCATATTCTAAAAAGATATGGTTCCAGGTATAGCCTCAAGTTTCATACCGATATGCTTACCTCAAGATTGTTATTTTTAAGTCCTATACTCCTTGCTCTCGTGGCTCTACTAATACAAGCAGCCTGTGCATACAAGTCCACAGCAATATCTGCTATCCTTTTAAGGAGCATCTGCTGGTCAATAATATTCTGAAAATATGGACCCAGTCTTAATAATAATAATAATTATTATTATAATTTGCTGGTCATCAATGACGCTCTAAAAACATGTACCTAATTTTGATTATAATTATTTGCTAGTCAATGGTGTTCTAAAAGTATGGACCTCATTTTGGTAATAATCATTTGGTGTTGAATGATATTCTAAAAATAAGAACATAATTTTGATAATTTTCATTAACTGGTCAATGCAGTTCTAAAAAATATACTCAATTTTAATACTTAATACTATATTTTATAATATTAGGCAATACTATCTAACCATAAACTATTAATCTTTCATTCACCAACAATTCGGATATACAGTTCATATCACTCTCAGTCTGATACTCTAATATTAAAATAAGATTGTCACTCACAAATAACTAATTATAATATGTTAATCATCACAATATCAAATAATATAATAATAAGTATAATTACTTTTTTGTAATGTTTAAAAAAAACTTATAGAGAGTACAAAAATGTTAGCACAATTAAACAGAAGATTAGTAAATTAAATACTTACTTTAGAATAAGATGCTAATGTTGCTTTCAGCACGTTATGAAATTCTAGGGTGTCTGCCTGCATTTCCAAAGCCTCTTTCTGGCAAATATTATAAAAAATCTTATAGAATATTGTATTCAATGACCCTATATTTTATATCAATTTACAATCAAACATGCTAAAAAGCCTAAAAAATTAACATCCGAGATGTGCTTCACACTAGCATTCAGACATTCTTTAAAAATGGTGTTCCTTCAAGTACCAAAGCCACCAACAATTTTATTTTAATTCATTAAAATGAATAAATACATAAATGAGTCAATAAAAAAAGGTAGCAACTGACATGTTTGTCAAGTGTTTGGTTCTTTAAAAGAAAAAAAAAAGCATAAGTTGGGTAAATACCTTGAAAATTGGAAGCACAACCTCTTCAACTTTGAGTGTCTTGAAGTCTGGTTTAGCTTTTTTAATAAATTGTGTCAAACTGTTGAATGGATCTTTCAGGGTCTTAAAGAACCCCTGGAGATCTTTGCTGGCATGTTGTATTCCCCTTAGTGCAATGAACAGTCTCGTTACATCATTGGTGCCCTAGAGATATCAATATTACATAATGTTATATATATGTGTGTGTGAGAGAGAGAGAGAGAGAGAGAGAGAGAGAGAGAGGGAGAGAGAGAGAGAAACTTCAGTGAAATGAAACCCAATCTTCTTCTAGAAGTGTGTGAACTGCTATCACATACATCAGTGGGATTCTTCCTTCCTCTGACTAAATTTCCTTCTTTATGTACATGAAATCAAGAGTTACTAAAAAATTTACGAAGATTTGGAGGTAATGAACAAAATCATTCATGAGGAGTTGGCTTCTTCCTTGTTTTATGCATTCTCTAATCCCCTGCAAAAATTTGTCTCACTTAATGTTCACTTATGCTTCTCAATCTCTTTTAGAACATTTGGTGTATTTTTTTTACAGTTCTAATGTTGTTCTGTAATGAATGTAACAGTTTGAGAACTGTTTTTGGGAAGTCCTTCAGAATGTCCTTGAACAGATTAAGAAGTCAACATTTTTCATTAAAAGAGAAAAACATTAATATGTTCTAGGACATATTGAGAACCGTAAGCAGAGGTGGATCCAGAGATATTTTCTGAGTCTTCCAAATTATCTTTGTTGATCCATCCTCCATAGCTGACCGTATTCCGACAGAAAAAATTAGATACTCATCAATGTAAACTTGAAAATCTGACCCTCTTCTGGAAGACCCAGAAGACGGCCTCAATCCGCCCCTGGTAAGTGAGGGTTAAATGAGACAAGTTTTCGCAGGGTATCTTCCCTGAAGGTATCACTTACTGGAAATCCAGCCATCATTCTGGCATCTCTGAGGTATTGCTCATAAGGCTGGTCTCTCAGGTAACCCTCAGCTCCCAGTATATGTAAACACTCATCTACACAGGTAAACACACCTTCAGAACTGAAAATCTGAAATATTAGAATAAAAGTAATTAAAAAAGAGATTAATATGGAACCACATATTTAACTACACTGTCTTTTATTCATTACTGTGCACCAGTCACTCCAATTCAGAACAATATTTTTTTAATTTTGACATTTTTTATTCTGCTGATATAACATCTAAGGCACAAAATAGCCGTCGCTGCATGGGCCTAGCAGTCAAACCTCGGAGCAGAGATTTGATCCGTTTACAGGTGCGTGTGGAGTCTGGGAGACCATGAATCAGCGGCATGGCTTAGGAACTGTGGTCAGTCATATTTAGTTGGCAGATAAGTAAGTACTCGTAACTTCCATTCTGAATGGGGCCATAGACCGAAAGTTTCATTGAGAATGAGCCCTCACCTTCAAGATGGCGGCCTCCAGGCCAGTGTCAGGCTCCTCGTAGGTGTCCATTAGTCCTGCCGTGTGATAGGTCATGCTTTCCATGGCATATATGTTTTCAGTGATCTTGGCAACCCTTTGCTGGTGAAAGACATAATTATCAACTCATAATTCCTTACACGTATTGCACATTCTTCATGCTTGATAAAACTAGATATAAGTGAAAAAATAAATGCTAATATGAGAATGGGGTCATTTGTTTGAAATAAGTCCAAGCATTTCCTTAAAAGATTGCTAGGCATTTTATAAATTGAATGTCTTTCCCAGTCTTTTAATTAAGTCTTAATAGAAAATTGCTCATCTACAGTAGGTATGTCTACTTCATTTATTGTGAGGATATCATCTGTACAAAGCTTTAAGAATAATACGGCCAAGTCTGACTTAATTGCAATCAGCCTTCTGTCTGTAAAGCAGTCTTGGCCAAATTGTTTTCAACATATGTTTCAATATACATTGTTGTCGACATAAAAATATAAATACCTTGATTAAATCAAACTCGCACAGCTTTTTTCCAAACCGTGTCCGTGAGATTGCTGCCTGTACTACTGAAGCTAGAATTATAAAGAACAAAAACACATTCACAAGTAACCTTCCTTCTTTCATGGGTTAAAAATAAGCCTATGTAATTGGAGCAAATGCATACGAAAAATAAGTAGGCAAGAGAAAGAATGAAGAAAGAGAGAGAGAGAGAGAGGGAAAGAGCAGGTGCTTCCACATTACCCTCCCACTAATTCTGACACTCTCACAAGTACTTTATATGTTACATTAGGAAAACAACACAGAGACAGACAGGCAACTCAGGCAGTTCAGACTTACCAAGGAGATTCTTCAGTAGACTTACAGCAGCGGCTCCCACTCCAACACGCCCACACTCTAATATACGCAGTGCAAACTGAAACATTTATGAATATTTTTTAAACATTTGCATTTTTTTTTTGCAGACTTTTTTCGCCACCTTTTTTTTCACCTTTTTCAATACCAAATGCCCACATATACTAACTTGAACAAAAGGTCTTCATACAAGGTTTATTCATAAATTAACAGCTGGCAAGCTCAAGCTCAGAATACAGATTTTCTGACATTCAATTGAAAAAATAGATGAAATATTGCCAGCTTGATATCGATTTCATATACAACCCACAACAGCAATAATGTAAAGCTAACACACGGAAAAGTATAGTGACCAAGTTAGCTTAATAGTGCCCTGATACTCAGGGTACGGTAAATCTAACACATGGTAAGGTATAGTGACCAAGCTAGCTTTATAGTGCCCTGATACACAGGGTACAGAATATCTAACACATGGTAAGGTATAGTGAGCAAGTNTGAATAAAAAAAGGTAGCAATTGACACGTTTGTCAAGTGTTCGGTTCTTTAAAAGAAAAAAAAAGCATAAGTTGGGTAAATACCTTGAAAATTGGAAGCACAACCTCTTCAACTTTGAGTGTCTTGAAGTCTGGTTTAGCTTTTTTAATAAATTGTGTCAAACTGTTGAATGGATCTTTCAGGGTCTTAAAGAACCCCTGGAGATCTTTGCTGGCATGTTGTATTCCCCTTAGTGCAATGAACAGTCTTGTTACATCATTGGTGCCCTAGAGATATCAATATTACATAATGTTTTATATATGTGTGTGTGAGAGAGAGAGAGAGAGCGACTTTAGTGAAATGAAACCCAATCTTCTTCTAGAAGTGTGTGAACTGCTATCACATACATCAGTGGGATTCTTCCTTCCTCTGACTAAATTTCCTTCTTTATATGTATGAAATTAAAAAGAGTTACTGATAAATTTACTAAGATTTGGACATAATGAATAAAAACATTCATGAGGTGTTGGCTTCTTCCTTGTTTTATGCATTCTCTAATCCTCTGCAAAAATAATTTGTCTCATTTAACATTCACTTATGCTTCTCAATCTCTTCTAGAACATTTGGTGTTTTTTTTTTTTTTTTTGTTTTGTTTTTTTTTTACAGTTCTAATGTTGTTCTGTAATGAATGTAACAGTTCAACAACTGTTTTTGGGAAGTCTTTCAGAATGTCCTTGAACAGATTATGAACATTTTTCATTAAAAGAGAAAAACATTATATTCTAGGCTGGGGTAGCGCTAGCAATTTTTTTCGCTTAGCCAAATCACCACATTTTTGTCAATTTGTTATCAAAATTGTTATAATTTGGCTAAAACATGTCAAATCAAGCCCTTTTTCTTTAGCCAATTTAAGTCAGTTTTAGCATTTGGCTAAATTGGCGAGTGTTAGCGCTACCCCAGCTAGGACAGATTGAGAACCGTAAGCAGAGGCAGATTCAGAGATATTTTCTGAGTCTTCCAAATTATCTTTGTTGATCCATCCTCCATAGTTGACCGTCTTCCAACAGAAAAAATTAGATACTCATCAATGTAAACTTGAAAATCTGACCCTCTTCTGGAAGACCCAGAAGACGGCCTCAATCCGCCCCTGGTAAGTGAGGGTTGAACGAGACAAGTTTTCGCAGGGTATCTCTTCCCTGAAGGTATCACTTACTGGAAATCCAGCCATCATTCTGGCATCTCTGAGGTATTGCTCATAAGGCTGGTCTCTCAGGTAACCCTCAGCTCCCAGTATATGTAAACACTCATCTACACAGGTAAACACACCTTCAGAACTGAAAATCTGAAATATCAGAATAATAGTAATTAAAAAAGAGATTAATACGGAACCACATATTTAACTACACTGTCTTTTATTCATTACTGTGCACCAGTGACTCCAATTCAGAACAATATTTTTTTAATTTTGACATTTTTTATTCTGCTGATATAACATCTAAGGCACAAAATAGCCGTCGCTGCATGGGCCTAGCAGTCAAACCTCGGAGCAGAGATTTGATCCGTTTACAGGTGCGTGTGGAGTCTGGGAGACCATGAATCAGCGGCATGGCTTTGGAACTGTGGTCGGCCATATTTAGTCGGCAGATAAGTAAGTACTCGTAACATCCATTCTGAATGGGGCCATAGACCGAAAGTTTAATTGGGAATGAGCCCTCACCTTCAAGATGGCGGCCTCCAGGCCAGTGTCAGGCTCCTCGTAGGTGTCCATTAGTCCTGCCGTGTGATAGGTTATGCTTTCCATGGCATATATGGTTTCAGTGATCTTGGCAACCCTTTCCTGGCGAAAGACATAATTATCAACTCATAATTTCTTACACGTATTGCACATTCTTCATGCTTGATAAAACTATATATCAGTGAAAATATAAATGCTAATATGAGAATGGGGTCATTTGTTTGAAATAAGTCCAAACATTTCTTTAAAAGTCTGCTAGGCATTTTATCAATTAAATGTCTTTCCCAGTCTTTTAATCAAGTCTTAATAGAAAATTGCTCATCTACAGTAGGTATGTCTACTTCATTTATTGTGAGGATATCATCTGTACAAAGCTTTAAGAACAATACGGCCAAGTCTGACTTAATTGCAATCAGCCTTCTGTCTGTAAAGCAGTCTTGGCCAAATTGTTTTCAAGATATGTTTCAATATACATTGTTGTCGACATAAAAATATAAATACCTTGATTAAATCAAACTCGCACAGCTTTTTTCCAAACCGTGTCCGTGAGATTGCTGCCTGTACTACTGAAGCTAGAATTATAAAGAACAAAAACACATTCACAAGTAACCTTCCTTCTTTCATGGGTTAAAAATAAGCCTATGTAATTGGAGCAAATGCATACGAAAAATAAGAAGGCAAGAGAAAGAATGAAGAAAGAGAGAGAGAGAGAGAGAGGGAAAGAGCAGGTGCTTCCACATTACCCTCCCACTAATTCTGACACTCTCACAAGTACTTTATATGTTACATTAAGAAAACAACACAGAGACAGACAGGCAACTCAGGCAGTTCAGACTTACCAAGGAGATTCTTCAGTAGACTTACAGCAGCGGCTCCCACTCCAACACGCCCACACTCTAATATACGCAGTGCAAACTGAAACATTTATGAATATTATTTAAACATTTGCATTTTTTTTTGCAGTCTTTTTTCACCACCTTTTTTCCACTTTTCAATACCAAATGCCCACATATACTAACTTGAACAAAAGGTCTTCATACAAGGTTTATTTATAAATTAACAGCTGCCAAGCTCAAGCTCAGAATACAGATTTTCTGACATTCAATTGAAAAAATAGATAAAATATTGCCAGCTTGATATTGATTTCATATACAACCCACAACAGCAATAATGTTAAGATAACACACGGAAAGGTATAGTGAGCAAGTTAGCTTAATAGTGCCCTGATACTCAGGGTACGGTAAATCTAACACATGGTAAGGTATAGTGAGCAAGTTAGCTAAAAAGTGCCCTGATACTCAGGGTACCTAAAACTAACACATGGAAAGGTATAGTGACCAAGCTAGCTTTATAGTGCCCTGATACTCAGGGTACGGTAAATCTAACACACGGAAAGGTATAGTGACCAAGCTAGCTTTATAGTGCCCTGATACTCAGGGTACGGTAAATCTAACACACGGAAAGGTATAGTGAGCAAGCTAGCTTAATAGTGCCCTGATACTAAGGGTACAGTAAATCTAACACATGGAAAGGTATAGTGAGCAAGCTAGCTTAATAGTGCCCTGATACTCAGGGTACAGTAAATCTAACACACGGAAAGGTATAGTGACCAAGCTAGCTTTATAGTGCCCTGATACTCAGGGTACGGTAAATCTAACACACGGAAAGGTATAGTGACCAAGCTAGCTTTATAGTGCCCTGATACTCAGGGTACGGTAAATCTAACACACGGAAAGGTATAGTGAGCAAGCTAGCTTTATAGTGCCCTGATACTCAGGGTACGGTAAATCTAACACACGGAAAGGTATAGTGAGCAAGCTAGCTTAATAGCGCCCTGATACTCAGGGTACCTACCTCCTGCCCTTCACCTAATTCCCCTAATGAATTTTCCACTGGGACTGGAGTATTGTCAAAGTGAACCGTGCAAGCTGTAAGAACAACATCTCCATTTTGCAGAATATGTATTTTGAAGAGTGACATTGAAATAATTAACTAAACTCCAAAACACAAACTTCTGAGATATGATGACTTACAAGGTATACTAGTGAGGGCATTCACAACAGACGACCCTTGGATCTACTGCTCCATGGATCAAATATGGGAGACCCTACATGAAAGAAGAGCCAACTAATCTGCTGATGGTCTCCCTGCCTTCACACGTGCTGTCCTTGCTGGGGTCTAGCAATTAAACCTTGGGAGCCCTGATTTAATCCATTTAATGGTGTGTGCAGAGGCGGAGAGACCATCAGTGGATTAGTTGGCTCTTCTTTCATGTAGAGTCCCCATATATGATCCACGGATCAGTAGATCCAAGGATCATCTGTTGTGAATTAATGCCCTCTATGAAGAAATTTTTTAAGTGTGGAATCAGCTATTTGCACAAAAGCATATTTGGTAAGGGTTACTTTAGAAAAATCCATTCTCCTGACACCTCTTCAATTTTTAACGCCATTACTTACATTACCCAAATCTGTTTTGAGTAAAATTTTGCTGAACAAACTCAAAATTTGCTGATTTTTTAAAATTCTTGTTAAAACTCACACATGCCTATTTTGCCAGATATCATGATCATACTTTTTTTAACGGGACACTGGCACTTACTGTTACATCCTCTAGTCCCCAACGTGTCATGTGGCTCACTGACTGTGACGCCACCAAAGTCCTTCTCTACTATCAAAGCAACTAGCTTTTCAAATGTATTATTCTGAAAACAAGTAACAATTAAATGACCAAACAGTGCATTCTATGGGTCAGTGAATCAGCTGATTTACTATTTTTCTTAAATAATTTTCTTAATAACCAACAGATCTGTAAATAACTGTAAGGAGTGGAATTATTGAGTCAGTAATTAAGGCTTCGTTCACATGCAATGTCTATTTTCTAAATTCTATTTTCTATTCGCGGCATGTCTTATGATCATGGTCTGTGCCCTGAATATCCCGCGGTGTAATTACTGGCAGCGCGAGCACAGCCGAGAATTAATTACAGCTTCGTATAAGTAACTAGCTCGCGCTGCCAGTAAATAGAAATTAGAAAATAGACATTGCATGTGAACGAAGCCTAAATCTTACAGTTAGGGGTGTATTATATGTTATCTTCTCAAAAGATTTCTTCAGTGAAAAAATCATATAATGAGTATTTGACATTTCCACTGAAAATGGCACACACTACATTTTAAAATGTCACTGAGCAAAAAAAAACACCATGGCATTTATGTTCACCTGTTCATTTTTAAACTTGCCCTTCGCAATCACTATAAAGACGTCTGCGATTCCTCCATTAACCACCCAGTTCTTTGTGCCATTCAGGACAACTTTACTTGAGCCTTCTTCAGTTAACCTGGCAGTTGTCTCTATAGATGATATGTCACTGCCGCTATATGAATATAGTTGAATATTGCATATTTTCATAAAGTTATATTTGTATATATATCTTACTAAATGGTGGAAGTGCTTTCATTAGTCATCTAGGCTATTCGACTTGAAATGTGAGTGGTTCAGGTAAAAATATATATCAGTAAGCTCAAAAATATTTATTAAGCATGAAAAATTATTGTCTTTGCCTTGAGTTCCCAAAATGACAGAATTATCCATTTCACATAAAAAATATTTTTATGTTTAAATTCTGAAATACATAACATATGGAATACTGGATTAACCACTGTAATTTTTTATGTTTCTAATTTTGCTTTCTGCATTTTGCTTGCACAAGGTAGAATTTTTTTTAAACCTACCAGTCAGGTTCTGACAGACAAAATGCAGCAATGCTCTCTCCTGTTGCAAGCTTGGGTAGATACTTCGCCTTTTGTTCTTCATTTCCACTGAGTAATATACTCTGAAATTTTACTTTACCAACTTAATTTGAAACCAGATTGTCATGCTTTAACAAAAACATGAGAGAAAAAATATGTAATCATTTATAAAGGCTAGTATAGTAAAATTACATACAAGTGTACGATAAATTTGATATGACTTCCTTAAATCATTATCAATCTGTCCCCTGATCAACAATAAATACTGCTTTCAAAATTTATAAGGCAGAGCTTTAAGCCACGTTGTCATTTTGCTTTAACATTAGATAAAACAATCAGTCAGTCTATGAATCAATAACTAATGGTTTAAAACATCAGGCCATCCTAGCACTGATACCTTTAAGCCAAGTCCATGGTGGGCTGCTAATGTCATCGAGATTGAACAGTCAGCCCCTGTCACCTCTGCGAACTGTGCGCTCTCTGTGACACTCAAATCTAGACCACCTGATTAAATATAAGTTAAACTGAATTTTACTCATCATAAAACGTGCTCATGACATTTTTCAAATGACTGTTAGTGTCAACTATTTTGCTTAAAAGTTTAATAAGAAATGCTATCTTATAAGTATCATTTTTTTTTTAGAAAACATTGTTACATTTGGCTTTTAAAATAAGCCATAGCACTTTTATTGGGATAAAAACAAGTATATTTTTTTCCAAAGAACATATTATGTAGGAAAAATTTTACTTAGCTGAGTTTAAAACAAATTATTTTTAATTCCAGTCTGTACATGTTGAAGATTTAAATAAAACTCCATAATAATCTGCAGAAATGTCCCTCTGCTAAATCAACAAGAAGGTTTTAATAAATATACCATATTCTCTAGGAACTTCTAAACCAAATAGCCCCAGCTCTTTTAACTGTGTGATGATCTTCTCTGGTATCTCAGCATCCCTATCTATTGCACCCGAGTGAACTGTAAAGAAACAATAAGATGTATGTTATCATAGTTAGGCCTGCATCATTGTGATAAAATGTGATAAATGTTATTGTGATAAAAAATTCAAAAGCACACCTTTTTTCTATTTATATTTGTCTATCATGTAAACTATCTATTTATTTTGATTTTTTTCTGTTCTTTTTTATACATATCGTTATAAGTTTTCCTACTTTACATTAATTGGTTTAGCATCTGCTTAAATTAAATGAAAAAAATATATGTTAAGTGAAAATAAAATAAAGCCTAAATACAAATGGTAACCTCTTTACTTAAATATCACAAAGTTTTTTCACTACAAACAAACTTACCACTCTCCTTAAAAAGATCCTCAACTGGTTTGATTAGTCGATCAAGAACTTCTAAATCCTCTTTATGACCAATCTGAGGGAAAGTGAAAACTTCCTTATATGAAAAAAGAGAAAATATTATTTTACTGCACGATTTCTGTTTTGCCAATTTCCCCAATTATTACGTAATACATTTATTAAGTAATCAAATCTCTTAATTAACAAACTTATAAGGCAAAACTGATAAAATATGCACTGACTGGGTAAAATTTGATTTCCAGAAAGTCAAAATTTATTTCCAAAAAGTCAGAAAAAGAGGATTCATGTAAAACCTTTGATAGATATATCAGGAAAAAAATTAGAATGTACCAGATGTAAACACAAGTTATATCTTCTAAAAGGTTTTTTTCCAGAATGTTATACTTCTAAACTATCTTTTAAATTGAAAATTTTTTTTAAAAAGTCAGCAAATGTGTCCTCACATTTCAGCCAAAAAGCTGTGACCACTGAACACATTTTGTGCCACCTTAAAAACAAACTTCATCTTGATCAATTTGATGGGGTTTGTTACATAAGATCACAAATATCCTATACTTTCACTTAGTATAGAAATTTAGGTGGAGATGAAAGATTATTGTATAGGTTGTCAAACAAAGTGCTTCAGTAGACTGGTCACAAGCACGCTCGGCAATAAAATATTTCATTGATTCCATGGGATCCTATAGGAATTTAACGACATTAGCTTTCAATACTTAACTAATTTTGATTATTTATTTTTATTTATTTTTTTTTATTTGAGGGGAGGGGGGCAATATAGAAGATAGTATGGCACTCAAAGATCGTTTAATGTCATTTTAAAGTTTATGCACCCCTTTTCTAAATCATGTAGCATTATTAGGACAGTCTTATTCTGGCAAATTGAGGTGACAGCCAAGCATGGTCACAAGCAGGCCCATACTAGTAGGACTTGACTGTGGCACCACCAGCTAGTGCAGTCTACTATACCTATCTTTGACTTACATAACGCCTAGAAAGCTGTATAAGAAAAGGGAGCATAAACGATAACATAGCTTGTGAGGTACAGTTGTGCTTTACTCGAGCCTCATGTATTAAATGGCCCTTGGTTTCCATCTTCTTAACTTCGGATTCTTTTTCCACCGCTTTCCAAGTTCAAGGGTAAATAAATGAAACAGAATCCTGTGGACCTACCTTGCTTAGTACTCCTGAAAATAAGTTCTTCACGAAAGGTTTTTCATTAAATGGCAGTTTATTTTTATGTGCTCTGTCCTCAAATGCCCTCTGGAGCTCACTAGTACCGTCACTGGTGTTTGTTGATGTTACGTCTGGGAAAGTTTCAGCACTATTCCCAGTATTGGTTAACGTTTTTGATTGCGAAAAAGCACATTTCATATCTTTTAAGTGACACTTTGCTTGTGTATATTTCAAAATAGATTTCCTTCCTAAATGTCTGCAGTTAAGAACGTGCTTTGACAACATTTTAGTGTGTTAATGTCGTATATTTGATTCGTATTTCTCATTCCTGGCAATTGCCTGTTAACCGGAAGTTCTTCACCTGCGACTGCCATTAAAATAGCAGCTGCTTCCGCACGTAAAGTGGAAAAGACATAATAAAAAACATGTACATATACTTTCAAATAATATTAGAATATTATGATTTTCTATATATTTACATCAAAAAGAAGCTGAGAATGAAATCACTTTGTCCAAACTCTCAAATACGCTACTGTATAAGAAATATTTTGTTCCGGTTGCTCAAATCTTCAACACCGGCTTTTTCTACCTTTAATCGCGCAAGATCTTCGAAATTAGGTCGCAGGGAAGCAGGGGGAGATAGAAGGAAGATGGCATACACGAAGGAACCCGACCAACTGTCCATAAAAACCAACGTGGATCTGCTCAAAGAGAGACAGACTGCAACTTTTGATGTTGCATCATTAACTCAAATACTTGATGGAGGAAAAGCCAAGACTAGACGAAGAAAGCAGTTGGGTAAGTGGATGTAATTAATTTTAGTTTCTGAATGTCCGCTTTGACGACGTCAAAGTCGAACAGAATTTACAAGGCAATCAAGACAACTCAAGCTATCTGCGCTTCGAATCACCTCCAGGAAAAGCAGCAAAGCTCATCTAAATGGAGCTCTATTTGAAAACCCATTCTTAAAAGATGGATTTCTTTATGAAAGGGTCGTTCTCTGGATTTTGAAGTTTGTACAGGTTATCGAATATACTGAGTATTATCCATAGTGTGCACAGTTTGACTTTGAACCCAACAAATCAGGCACATACATGTCCTTCGACCTGATAGATACAGCGTGTGCATTCTTATTACATGTGCTCTTATGGCTTGGGTTGATGACATCTATCGAAATAATGGTCTTATAAGAAATAAGAGCAATAATCAGTGATACCATTATGATTATCATAGCCCATTACATATGCTTGGATTTCAATATATATATTGAGTAATGGTATTACTCAAAATCTGCTACTAGTACATACCCTGTATAATGTCTCATAGCAGACTCATTCAAACAGTGACACCTAAACAAATTTAACAGTTTAAGAAACTCTGGGAAAATTTCCCTCTACTGTTTATACAGGATATCTGGGTAACCTTGTACCAGTTTTTGTACTCCAAATTTCTCCTTGTACAATATTGGTATACTCTATAAAACTGATGTTCAGTTTTCTTCTGATATGCATGTGGTCAACCATGTACAAATATGTTGTTATACTTCACAGCTTTGTACTCACTAGTATAAAACAATTATAATAAATCCTCATTGACCTGTTTATATATTTTCTTAATGAGCCACTTCTTTCCGTCTACTGTAGTCTGATATAACCTTTTTACCTATGGCTTACCAGATTACAGAGAAAGGTCATATACTTGGGCACTAAAGAAGTCTTTTTTAGATTTTAAGTATTTAGTTTCATCACCTTAAAAGTGTGTCTTTCCATCTTTATACAGGCAGTATGTTTACTATTATTATCTTAAAAAATAAGGAACTTTAAACCAAAGAAATTCATGCATAGTTTCCCATTTAAGTATCATAATATATTAAAGATAAGACTTACTTTCTCATATCTGTTTTTAAAATAACCTTTTAATTATGCTAAATTTTGCTTTTTATTTTTAGAAAGCCTGGTCCTAAGTGACCCTACACTTAATCCACTGGACCGGTCAGTTGACCGATTGGAGCTGTACGACAGAAGCCTTAGGAAGGCAGCCCGGGTCTATGAACTGAAAGTAAAACACAACTGGAGTCCTGAAGATATGAAGATGGTGCTGAGGTATGGTCTTTATACATTCTTTTGGACACTAACTGTTATTCAATTAATGGCAATGGGTCTGTTGCTCTCAGTGAAGACTTCATCCTCATTCCATCCCTTGTCAAATCTATAACACAGCAGGGATGGATAGAAGTCATCTTCTGGGTCTACCTGAAGATGGTCAAAATTTTTAAGTTGTTTTTTATGTTGGAAGACAGTTAAAAATGGAGGATGGATCAACAAAGATAATTTGGAAGACTGTCAGAAAATCTCTCCGGATCCATCCCCACACAGCATAAAATGTTATATTGTAAAACAGTCCATTTATCCTAGCCATTGTATAGCCATGAAATAAAGATATGATAAAATGTGTGTTATTATAATTAGTAAATGTAATTAGATTCAAATTAAAATTACAGATCAAGTTTTTTGATTAGGGGAAATTTTTCTTGTAAAATAAAAATACGAGTCAGTCTTTTCATTATGTACACGATTCCAGTGCTGGACAATTACATGATAAAATGATACACCTGTGTCTAAACATTTGACTTTTTGTAAACTGTATTACATCACAGAATGCTGAATGACGAACATGCCCTGGGAGTCCACGAAGTGATGTTCATTCCCTGTATAGAGAGACTGGGCACAGCAGCTCAGAGAGCAAAGTGGCTACCAAGGGCTCACACACTGGAAATCATTGGAACCTATGCACAGACTGAATTAGGGCATGGTAGGTTAGATCTCATTCTCGTTGACTGGTTTATCATGCCTAGACAGATCCAACATGATCGACCTAACTCTATGTGAATTTATGCCAACTTGCTAAATTTTTTTACAGAGGCTGAAATGTCTGTCACTCCTACCAAATCAGCTAGGGGGTAATTAATTTTCATGGACACTCCGCCTCCAGTAATTAATAACCCTCTAACAGCTTTAGTAGGCATGCAAAACATTTCAGCTGCTTAAATTGATAGCAATTTGGTGAGAATCCCCTTGGAGATAGATTGGTCCAAAGTTAGTATGATAGGCTCTATGTACATACGCGTGGTAGGTCCCATCTTAACCGAATGAAAAGTCTCTTGCTGTCAACATACTTGTATAATCACCACTTTTTCCATATTCTACTCAATACCAGGAGAAGGCATGTTAATCTGCCAAGTTACTGTGGTACAAATTCAGGTAACTGCCCACAAATATGAAATTGATTTTTTTTAGTAACAAAGAATAAACTTAATGATTGTACATATAAAATGATTGTTGGATATTATAATAAATCATGCCAGAATTGACAGTAGAAATAACTTGCAAATTGCAGAATGTATCAGAATTAGATCCTGAACATCACCTATTTGTAAAATTAATGTGATTCTTAATGGAGCCTATTGATTCTAGGTACCAATTTGGCTGGTCTTGAAACAACTGCCACCTATGAGCCATCCTCTGGCCAGTTTATCTTGAACACGCCAACACTGAGTGCTATGAAATGGTGGCCTGGGAACTGTAAGTAGATCTGTATTTGGGGAGGGGGAGACTGCTTGGAAGGTGTGGTGATGAGGATAGTAAAACACAAATTCTTTTTATTATTTTCTTTTGAGTTGTTGTCATTGCTTTTGCATCAGGTACCACCGTACTGCGTTTGCAAATATGCATAAAAGGTAAAATATGATTGTTTTATTTTCATAATTATATAAGAGGGGGTTATTATCATCATTTCCTTCTCTTTTTTGTTATCTGTTTGCAATGATGACAGCCTGATTAAAAAACATGTTAGTCATCAACTTTAAAGATATCTTTAAGCATACTAGTATGCATCTGGTGTAGAGAATATTATTTGTTTTGTATCCAAGACTCTAGTTTGTGAAATATGTAATGCCCAGAGATTCCTTTTCTTATAGGGGTTTATAATTTCATGAGATTTATTTTGGAAAATTTACCACATCATGAATATGAGATATTCCATATGAAATTTCTTTTATGCATATTCAGTGGCAAAGACAGCAAACCACGCCTTAGTGTTGGCCCAGCTTTGGATTGCTGGGAAGAAGTTTGGGATGCAGGCCTTCATGGTTCAGTTAAGAAGTCTGGAAGACCACACGCTGTTGCCAGGTGAGTGAAAATTCCAGCCTTTTTGAACATTAAAACTGTACTGACATAAATATATTTAAACAATAAATTCAACACTTACGTCCATTGCCTCAAATAATTTTGAATTTTATTTTAAAATTTTTGGAAATCTATCTGGTGACTTACTTGGACTATTTTGAGTTGCAGTTGTTTTGGTTTTGAATCACTTTCATGCATAAGTTAGGTCAGTTTGGTTTTATTTCCTGTCAATATTGCATTGTGTACCATGTGTGATACAGACTTTCTGGTTGTATACACATTGTAACATATTGGTGAGCACACATACACGTACATACAGGTGCCCACATGCACACAAACCCAGAGTTGAATGATTTCTCCCCTTTTAACTTTCCTTAATTTTTTTTTAAATTTGTGTTTTCTTTAAATTTAAACAAGATTGTCCTTCACATCACCACCACTACTTCTGCAAACCTGAGTTTTAGAGTACGTAGGAATTCCAGTTTCTAGGAATCTTTGAAACCCAAGGTGCTGGTGGTGGCAACAGAGATGACAGGTTTACTTAATTCTCAGGGTGTCACCCCCACCTACCCTGAGTTTCATAGAAGAAAAAATTATCATTAATCTCTAAAAGTTAGGGTGCTACCACACCACAATGCCCTCTCAAAGCAATATTTTAGATCCACCCATAGCAATATTAACCCTGTTTTTTGTTCTCACCTGCAGGTATTGAGACAGGAGACATAGGGCCCAAGATGGGGGTCCCATACACAGACAATGGCTACCTAATCCTGAAAAATGTCAGAATACCTAGAGATCACATGCTGGCTGGATTTGCTAAGGTAATGTAATTAAAGCATTGCTCTCGTCTGTTTTGCTTGCACAATATATATTTTGATTCTATATTTATTTTCTTCAAACACTACCTCTCAATTAAGGGATATTGGGACCATTCCCAGACCCTATCATACTAACTGTGGATTAATCTATCTCCAAGGGGATTCTCGCTAAATTGCAATCAACTTATGCGGCCTAGATGTCTTTCATGCCTACTGAAGCTGCTAGGGGGTAATTAATTATTGTTTAGCAGCCTCAGTAGGTATGACAGACATCTAAGCTGCTTAAGCTGAAAGCAAATTAGCAAGAAACCCCTTGAAGATGGATTGATCCTATTAGCTCGATCTAGGAATGGGAACCAAGTCATTGTCATGTGGAAAACAAGGGCTCTGGTTGGTGCTAGTTATAGGGCATACAGGCATGCCTCATATTTTTCTGCATTTAAGTGCACCATTATCTGCTATTTGCATTATCTGTGATACAAGTTAGATGGCACTGAATTGCACGTAAAATTCACTTGTGCATAGACCACTTATTTTCCAAACGTGACACAGTTTCTTGTTAAATAACTATTGCAAACTCATATAAACCAGATCCATTAAATTGCCTGTAAAAGGAATTAAAAAGGAAAAAGAAAAATATTTTAGAGTTTACACAGACACATTTATATTTTTTTTTAAAAATGTCCCAGGTCATAAATGAAAATGATCAAACACAAGCCAAAAAACTTTGAATTCATACCATTAGCTTACGACCAACCTGGACATAGGCCTTCATCAGACTGATGTGAGTAGATGTTGTTACTCACTGACCACTAGGTGGTATCATGGCCAGGACCCTCTTATAAATGTCTTCAGCTAACAGTATAAAAGTTTTTCGGCTTGTGTTTGACAATTTTTATTAATGATCCAACAACCAAGGTAACAATTTTTTTGCTCAAATTTCTTAGGTATCTGCAGATGGCCAGTTCAGCAAGGTAGGATCAGACCAAGTCAACTACCTGACCATGGTGTATGTGAGAGCGAAGATTGTTGACTGGGCTTTCAATGGGGTGTCAGAAGCTGTTACCATAGCAACCAGATATAGTGCTGCTCGAAGACAGGGATCCATGAAACCAGGGTATCAGTATTATGTTTATATTACAAACTTCATCTCAGAATGTTTGTTGAAATGTGATTTGCTAAATGTGATATTGTTATAGGCTTAGGTACAAAATATTGTATATATTTTTCCTTTATTAGGTTAAGATTGGTATTTAGATTATCATCATATTGAGCAGCATACATAAAAATTATATCAATTACCAGACCTTCTCAAATACAAATTACGGATTTTTTTAACAGTAATTTTTTTTTCATTTTATTAACATTTAAATACATATTATAAGAATCTTGTAATTCCAGAGATCCCGAGGTGCAGATCATGGATTATATGACACAGCAATACAAGTTGTTCCCAGCACTGGCAGCAGCATATGCACTGTTCTTTGCCAAAGAGCAAATAATGAAGGAGTATGTCAGGGTGACTAAGGAGATTCAAGAGGATAGCAATTTTAAATCTCTCCCAGAGGTATGTGAGATATTTTCATAGAACTAAATATTATGTTTTAATGTACATCTGAAGATAAATTATCTTTGGAACCCAGAAGTTTCTTTCAATTTCCATTATTTTTGATGACTTATATAAAACTTTAAGCATAGCACACAGAGAAAGGAATGATTATAGTAATCATAGAATTAAATATTCAAATATATGCATATCTTCTAGATGTGACATTTAATCATTATGTTCAGATATTTGTGAAATCTTCTTGAAAAAAGATGACTTTTACCTCACTGTGTAATATGTTGATGACATATGCAATGCTTATATTTACTCATTTTCTCATTCTTATATATTTTACCCTTTATATTTTACTCCCCATGACCACCAGGGTGACCCATCCTTTAAAGTAGAAATGCAAAATCATTATCTGTTATTCTTTCTGCTTCCTTTGGGCTTCTTTCTGCTTCCTTGTGACTTTGATAAGCTTTATTAATTTGGTTTCTGATATGTTACTATCTTTGTATCTTGTGTTCAGCTTCACAGCCAGGCCGCTTGTCTAAAATCATTCAGTTCGGACAGCAGTAGCCACTTGATAGAGGTGTGTAGGAGGGCATGCGGTGGGCATGGTTACTTAATCAGTGCCAACCTGAGCACGATTGGTGTTGACAATGTCAGCGTGGTGACGGCTGAGGGAGAAAACACAGTCATGTTTTTGCAGACAGCAAGGTAATGTAGAGGGCATAACAAATACTACATGTGGGAGTTCAAGCCAGTTACAGTCGGTTGCAGCTAATTTCAGCTAGTGTCAACCAATTTTAGTCAGTTTCAGCCAGTTACAACTTATTTCAGTCAGATTCAGCCAATTACAGCTGACTTCAGGCAATTTCAGCCAATAGTACTGAGGTTATTGCACTGATAAGCGTAATACTAATACAAAAGTTGACAAAAAGCAGCCAGTTGGTTGGTTTCACCTGATCTTTTTTATCCCTGTTTGTGTCTTTACACTCTATGATCTTGGTGCAAAGCTTCTCACTCTCACTCGTATTGGGGCACTGAAATAGCTATTTGTGTTTGAAGTTGTAGTCATCAACCACATTGCGAGAAATAATTCACAGTTATCACATTTTACTATTTTCTGTGGGGACCATTATCCACTAATAGTGCGAAAAAGAAGGAAAATAGCAGACTTCAGCTTGTAAAACTTGTGGCTTGGTTAACCCTGGAAAATGTGAATGACTTAAAAGTAGAAGGTTTTCTGAGTAACATTAAAAGGCATGATACTTCAGACTCTCCCTTGGTTCAGTTTTGCTTATAATTGCTTATAATTTGATCTTACTTATAAGCTGGTAGGATTAATTTTGTTAATAATTTCAGGACCAGGCAGCATTTCTATTTCTTGTGAAAAGAAAGCCACCAATGATAAAGCCACATAGTAATTTTAATTTAAAGAAAATTCCAGATAAGAAGGAATTTCAGTTCTGAACCCAAAAACTGAAAAGACCCAGTGGTTGTCATTTATGCCTAGTCAAAGAGCTTTCAAGCCTTCAATTGCAATTACTTATTTCAGTTTCATGGAATTCTATGTGGAATGAAAGCTCTAAGCACAACAACGGCAGTTGAGGAAATTGAGGTGTTGCATCGAGGGTGTGGCGGACACGGCTACTTGGTTAGCTCTGGGCTGCCTGGTTTGCTAGGGTTTCATCTTGTCTTATTCACTGGAGAGGGCGAGAATACTGTGTTATACCTGCAGAGTGCCAGGTAGATCTCCACTGGATACTATATTCCTGGATTTTGAAGATTTTTTCTCTCTTTTTCTGGCCAAGTGCTTAAAAATATATGTGATAAATGAAAATTTACCGAATGTGTCAGTATATTGCATTGGAGAGATTGATATAAAATGTTGATCCCTTGCTTCACCTGCTGGGTGTTTGTAATACCCCAATTACATACTTGTTTACTAACACTAAGGCCCTGCTGGTACTAACCTTTGAAGTTTGCAGTCATGGATTCAAACCTCAGCTGGGTTAGAACAAAGACCCTCATTAAAAAATGACAGATTTTGTCTGTACGCATAGGCATGATGTTGTATATACATACATCTCACTCATACTGAAAAAATTCATTAAATTGCAATGTCTGGGCAGCATCTATACTGAGAAGTAATTTACTGTCAGTGCATTCAGCCATATTCTAGAGAGGCCAATACCCTCTAAGAGTGCTAATATCATAATAATGATTATAATATTTGCTAACCCAGCTATACAGCATACTGCTAAAATGATATTTTAGTGCTTAAGGAAATTTTGAAAATTGTTTATTAAGAAAGAAAAGAAAAACATATACGTGCAAGTAAAAGCAAAGTGAAAATATATGATTAGATTTCGGTGAAAGCAAGTTTAAGTTATCTAAATGCTACAGGCAGTGGCTGCAGCCAAGTGGCTCATTGCTGGAAAGTAAGTTCTGGTTTATTTCAGTTTCTTGATCTGATGAGTGGTTCTGTGATTATAATGATGTTTCAAAATGCGTTTGTGATATTTATTATTACAAACATGGATGACTGGATCCTTTTCAGTGTTAATATTTACCTCATATGAATGCCCTTTTACTTTTAGCTGTCATGCTGATTTCATAATTATAATATCATTTCCATATTAAATGTATTATTGCGGAAATACATTTAATTTCTTATCTTCACTACAGCAGTAATTTTTTTACATGAAAACCCAAGTTATTTTATTGTGCATGATTCCAAGAAAAGAAATTCAATATCTAGATGTATATTCTTAAAGAAAATATTTTTTTCATCTTTGTTGAGACCATTCCTGTTTTACAAAGTTATTTTGTAAACCAATTCTAATCCTAGCATTTTCCACTTCAGGTATCTCATGAAGAGTTTTGCCAAGTCCACAATGGGTCAACCACTGCCTGCCACCGTCCAGTATCTTTCCAGGGACTGGTCAAGTTATGAATGTCCAGTTCGTAGTGAGAGAGACTGTTTGAATCACAATGTCATCAGTGATATCCATCTTAAGAGAGCCAGCTAGTATGTATTGCCATAAGTATACTGAGAAACTGGCTTTCAAACACAGTAACTATAAGGCAAATTAGGCATCCCATTGGCAGAGAATACTCCTGCACAATTAAAATTATTAAACCAGAGCATTTATTCAGATTTTTATATGGCCTTAAAGAATAGCATCATCTTCAAATTCCCTGACAGTCCTCTCACAGTCTTTGAAATCAGTTCCTGAATTTTAATGTTGAATGTTGTCTTAGTTGATAATATCTGGATTAAATCATTTGAGTGCTAAACAACACTTATAAAATGTACATCTCTTTAACTCCCACAATTTTATCACGTTTTCATGTTAACCTACCATCAATCATGTTAATCAGTAAAATTGACGTAATTCCCCCCTCTACTTCAGTCTGGTCAAGAGAGCCGCTGACCACTTACAGAGAAGACTGAGCGCAGGTGACCCCCAGCACGTGGCCTGGAACAGAGCATCCATTGACCTTGTAACAGCAGCAGTGGTAAGGGCAGTAGTAAGCGCGTTCAGACCAAATCTAAATAAAATGGAAAAATAGTTTTTCTGAATGCCTCAGACAGCCTGATCACACATAAGGAGCATTCAGAACAAGCTGATCCATGGACAAACAGATCCATGGATCAAATATGGCACTGATGCATTGCTGAGATGTTTAACATGCACCAGGTCCTGGAACATTTACAATTTAGATATTAAAAAAACAAAAAAATAAACATTTTATTGCAGCCTATTTAGGATTTGTACTGTTGCTTCAAAAATTTTAATCTTTTTAATATCTAAGGTCACACTGAGTAGCCAAACATATTTTCATTTTGTACTGATGCTTAAAAATAAATCTTTTCAATGTCTAGGGACACGCTCAGGCATTTGTTGTATGTAACTTCTGCACCAGCCTGAGTCAGTTGGATGCAGACACCCAGATCCTTGAAGTGCTGTCAACTCTGTGCTCCTTCTATGGTCTACACTTGATCATCAAACATTCCGGGGAATTCCTAGAGGTTGGTATAATTGCTACATTTAAATCTTTTGGGAAATTTGAAGTCTTTGCACTTGATCGTCAAATTTTTTTGGGAATTTCTAGGTGTTGGTGTAGGTTATGATATTTATACTAGTAACTTTTTTTGGATGTTTGAAGTCTGCACTTGATGGTCAAATATTCTGTGGAATTCCTAAAAGTTAGTATAATTGTCAGTTGTCATAATCAAAACTTTCTAAAAGATGTGAAGTAATATTTTATATTTTCCTTGTGTTTTAGGCTGGCTCCATTAGCGGTAATCAGCTGGAGTTGATACGGAGACAGGAACAGGCTTTGCTTGCTGTGATAAGGTATGCTTATGGATGTGCTGTGCTGGGGAAAGGAAAAATGATTTCCAGTTTTTTTTATTATTATTATGTTGCTCAAGGGACACATTATTTTTAATTTTGGATGAAATATTATGATTATATTTCTAGTCTTCTTAAAAAATGTTTTGTGTAATTATTATTGCTTATGTCATACCCTAGAGCTTGCAATGCTGGATTATATTTTATTTTAGACCCAGTGCTGCATTTTTCTGAGATTTTCATTCTTTGTTTGCCATGAGGCCAAATGCTGTTGGTATCAATGTTTATCATTATTATTATTACTTTTATTTATTTACTTTCTTTTAGACCCAATGCCGTAGCACTCTGTGATGCCTTTGACTACCATGATGTGACCCTGAACTCCGCTCTGGGAGGCTATGATGGCAATGTTTATGAAGAGCTTTATGGACGTGCCAAGCAATGTGTGCTCAACAAAACTGAAGTGAGTCAGGTGTACTATTACTCTATGTAACTATAATATCATATACAGTAAGATGATATAAGAACACAGATTTAAGGTTCTCTTCTGAATGCTGACCAAAGTTAAATTCTAATTGAATGTTTTGTTCTTGTTCAGGTTAATTTCTCCATAATGGTTATATTTAACCGAAGAACATAATAGTTTACACATTCTATTTTTATCTATTTATTTCTTTATTTTTCTTTTGTTTAATACTTTTGATTCTTTTGTTCTCTGCCAGGTTTTACCCAGCTACTACAAGCATATCCAACCACTGCAGAGACGACTCAAGGCAAGATTATGATATGCAGTCTCACCGCCATTTTGAGATGATCAGAAGTCAAAGTCATGATTTCCATATTAGTGAAAAGCAAAAAATGAACTTGAATTTTAATCCTTTTAGTATGCTGTTCCATATGATGCTTTTACTGGCCAAGAGGTACATAATAGTATATGCTGATCTATTTAAACTTAGCATTCCTTTGATAATTATTACCCATTGATTTTTAGAAAATTATCCACTTTTATCTCTATGCCCGAATGTCTTTGCCATCAGGAGTGGAATTGAAATCTGGGACATAATTTTTAACTTTTCAGAGTTTTGGCAATTAATAGATTCCATACTTAGGTCTTTCTACTCCTATATTTTCTGCTTTTATATATTAATTAGAAAAGTAATACCTCATTTTCTGGGCCAACTGTGTTGATTTTTTTTTTCAGTTTGAAAACATGAAGACTGTGAGTGCTTTTATTTGGCACATTATACTGCAGTGCAGGCAGTATTGTTAAATTGTTTTTTCTCTAAGAGTAAGCCAGTACTTTTCCTCAGACTTACCTTTATCACATTATTTTAAAAAAGATTTTGATATTGTTTTGCTTGTAAGCCCTGTGTGGTATTGTACATTGAAAACATGAATAGTTTTAAATGCCAACTTAATTGTATGTTTTAATGTTTAAAATATTGTTAGATATATTTTATATTTGAAAGAAGATTTTTAAAAAGAAAAAAAATAAGACTTATTTTAAAGCAGTAAACTGAAACAACATGTTGTGTCGAGTTTCACACCTGTAATCTGAAGCACTTCTTTAGAATTTTGCGACAAGATTAATTTACAGTATTGTATATTTATTTATATTCAACGCAATGTTTTTTTTAACAAATAAAGGGCATGGGATCATAATTCTTTAAGAAATTGATGTCAAAAGTATTTTAAATAATTGATAAATTTCATAATAAAACTATATTTAATTTAATAATAACAGTTGTCTCATATCCCTTTCATTATTTTCCTTATTAGTAAGACACAGTAAGTGACTGTAAAATATTACGTACTGCTCACGGTGGCTGCCAGTCCCCCCTCCCCTCCAATCAGGAGCCTCCCATCGGTCGCTCCCCAGTCACGATAGGATCATTCAAGACGAGGCTCCGGTGGGGCAAATCTTGGCGATAAAACCCCAATAACTAGTGGTATACATCTGGGATTCGGGCTGATTTTTCTAAAAACCTGGGGGGAGGGCGGGGAATTTGAAAATTGTATATAAAATTTAAAGTTTTCCTTGCACTTTCCCCCCTGGTTATCATTCTTGTGGAGGGGGGAGGGGGTGATAACTTGAACGCACTTGTTTTCTTCGTCCTACAGTGTAGGTAGAGGGGACAGGAAGGGGTACATAAGAAGCGAAGGGAGGGACGTATTCGACAGAAGTGGTCTTATTTATAAAACTCCATCATACGTGATGCCCGTAGAGACTTTCCCAATAATCTTGCGCTGTCCCAATAGGCTCCATTTTAACTGTACAAGCAAAAAAAAAGGCACAGAAGCGCCATTTTCACTAACAGATTCCTGCTGAATTGTTAATGGAGTGAAATACAAAGCACCAACTGCATAGTAGCGCCTGACTTTTTCTTCTTTTTCTCAAAAATTACTCTTTTTTATGAATAAAAGAAACGACCGACTGAAGATTAATTGCGCACATGATTAAAACACTGCGCCGATTTATGTATATCTGCTACCCATAACTCACTGGTTCTTGGACTGACGCAAGCTGGCCTTATATGGAATCCAAGCCGAGTAATGCTCATTTGAGAAATTCATGAAAATAAGATTTAATGTGTTAAGACTTTTAGACCTGCTTGGCTGCGCCGATGGTAAATGAAACAACGTTATATTTGCATAACATTTATTGTTATCGATATACTCACAATGTCAATCACCAATGGTGTAGTCGTAATATTGAATATATTAAATAAACAGATTAACAATAGAATTACAAATTGAAAAATATATGTAATTGCAAAATCCCTGTATGGTATATTAAATGTTTATCGTTACCCGATAATGTTCTGCTAGATTCAGGATTATGCCAAGGGTTTGGGAAAAAGGGAGTGCACAAAAATTGGAAATTTTGGCATGTAGACAAGGGTAATTTTACTGTTATATATTGGGCACAAGGATGACAAAACGTTTGGTTTTATCTCGTTTCGCCCATTCTATTGTTTTTCTTATTTTAAGAGTGAGTAAAAGGAGATGGGGGTATCTCCAAAGCTATCAGAAGCACGCGACCGCTGTGCACCCCTCCTCCCATGGCCTGAGCCCTCACCGCTATGGGCGCATTCACAAAAGCGGACTAACATGTCGCGGATCAAATATGGCCGACCCACTTGGATTCTTACTGGGTAAACCCCGCGTGGAATCTATTCAGTGTCTATTAGGGGATTAGAAGGAAGCTTTAAAGTTTAGTTCCGCGGACTAGTCAGCCCGCTGCTGTTAATTAGGCCTATGACAACCTTTCGATAAATGGAGAATTATTTATCATAATAAACATGTACTCATACAACAACATTAAAATTATATATGTAACATAATGTGTTGAAAGGTAAAATGAAATTAAATACAAGTACAATAAATTGTCACAGCACAATAAATTGTCGCGCCATCTACAGGAGATAATTGCAGTACGCGGTAGACGCACACGCTGTTAGGCGTGACCTTTAACGGGCACACCCTAATGCTAATTGTGTGTGAATTTGGTGACATTTGATGGCGTCTTTTCAATTTAATAGACATTTCTTTACATCTGTAGAAGTTACAGTGAAACAGTGGATTTTACTAAATAGTATAAAATGTGTATATTTTCACCACTATTTTGTATTTTTTTAACCATTAATCACGTTAGACACGGTATCTGTAATAAAAAGCACTATTTCTAACAATTTACAGCTGTGAGGTGATCATTTGTAAATAAAAGTACATGGATATGGGGGTGGGACAATCTTTTTGACCAATGTTGTATAAAATCCATCAGATAAATATACTTTGATATTCAAAAATGCATAACAAACATTTAATTATCTAAAATAATCAATGCCAGATTATTAACAAACAAATACTGTACACTGACATTTAGAAGGAGTGCATAACTAGATGTATATATGAATACTAAATAAAATTGACTTAGGCCTACGTGTAAATGTATAACCATATTACACGTCTTTGGTGAGTATCATCTGTACGCATATCTGTTGTGCCATTAAATGTATATCAAAAATACCAATTTACATTCTCAATGCTTGTAGCACCTTTTTCTTCAAAACATACTTTTATCATTTTCAGGGTTGTCCAAAGGTCTTATCTTCTGGTTCAATGCCATCTATCGTTCTCGCTTCGTACTTCACACGAGTGGCGAGGTGGATGAAGCGGAGGTGCTGAGGGTGGACATTTCACACTTCACCTCAGTAGTGGCCACTGTAGCCACTTGATTGTCCGCCTCGTCGCTCTTGTTGGACATCGTGGACTCACGATTATTGGAGGATTTGACTGTGGCATTGGTCTGCTCCTCGGTGGCACAGGTGCTGCAGATCATCTCGCGCAACCCCGAACGAAATTTCTGGCCGATCAGGGTGTAGACGAAGAAGTTAAGAGCGGCATTGACGGCAACGAGTAGGAACAAGAACGGGATGAAATAGAAGTAGTTCATCAGAACGTTCCTGGGGAGGAAATCGACGAAGGACATGACGATTTGTGAGAAGAATATAGGTGTTGTGCAGCACATGAAGATGATGACGACGGCAACAAGGATATGGTTAATACTGTCGCGGTCCGTGGATGTCTTGCCCATTGCCAGACGTTGTTTCTTGGACTCTCTCAACTTCGAGATCAGCTTTCCGTTCATGATGGCCATGGCGCCAATCGGTATGATGTACATCACCAAAGTGGTGAGCACGATGCGATAGCTAATCTTCAGGGCGAAATTCTTCTGAAGAACCGTCTTGTAGCTCATGTCATCATTGTACGATGTCAGGTACGTTATGCCGACGTCTTTCACGTCGAAGAACTTAGGCATGTTGAAGGCAATGCTGAAGAGGAACACGCCGGCCGCCTGGATGCGGGCGTGTTTCACCGAGGACATTTTCTTGGCGTGCAGCGGCTTGCAGACTGCGATGTAGCGGTGGATGGTGAGTAGCACCAGCAACCACGTGGACGAAGTGATGAAAATGTAGTGGAGGGGATAGGTGTATAGGCTGAACTGGCGGTGGGCGAAGAAATAGTCCTCCAGTAAACCCGTATGGGGGTAGAAGAAGGCAAAGGAGAACTCCACGAGCGTATTAATCAGGATGAGGTTGTCGGACACGGCAAGGGCTTGGAGGATGATCGAAGAGGGTCCCTTCTTCTTCTCGCGGAGGAACACCAGGAAGGCCAGAGTGTTGCCGCAGATACCGACCAGGCATACGACGGAGCTGATGCAGGAGAGCATGATGAAATTAAAGAAGTTTAGATTACCCGCTACTCGGCCACGATGAGTGCCGTTAGGGAACCGTTCAACGGCGGCCCAAAACCCGCCACTTCCAGAACCCCCTTGTGTAGTGGTCATCTCCCATGTGGTATCGTCAAGCTGGTCAACAATAGTTGTGGCGATTTCTCCAAGGAAGGAAGCGGTCACGTTCGCAAGTGCGGTTGTCACGTGTTCAGTCAAGTTTTCCATTACAGTTGGGTTGATGCTACAGTGTTTTAGTCTGAAAATCAAGAAAGGATAACAAATCACGAATTAATCATTAATTAGGCTAATTCCAACTAAAGTATAATAGTCTATAATAGTATTAAACATAGATGATTCGGCCCCACCCCTGCACCTTACTTCATAATTGTCTATTTGTCTCGGTGTAACAGGAATGGAAGTCCTACTAATGGAAGTCCGGGCTCCCATATCATTAGTACAGGTTAGGGTTAGTTGGAGTTCGTATATGGGACCAATATCACCTGCACATAGTAATGGGAAGAGGACTACGGATCCTAGCGGACTTCCATTCCTGTTACACTGGCCCATCGTTACCAAAAACTGTATGTGCACAGGCAGGCTGGGAGTGAAATGTGAGAGTGGTTAAGTTGGATCCTTTTGCCTTGAGAAGCAAGCAGGCTACATGTATGCAGAGTGTAAGGTCTGATGTGAAAAGTCAATACGTGCCCAGGCAATTATTTGGCCCGGTTTTACTGTCCTTCCAATCCATTTTCTTATCGTGATGATGTAAATGATATTTTGTTTCCTTTTTTAAATTATTACCGCCTAAATCAATGCAACAAGTTAAGCTTAAAGGGATAACAAATATGGGATTCATATTTCATACTAAAAACATTGTAAAGTATTCTTAACAATGTAATAAACTCCAATTTACCACCAAAACGGTCACTGCAATTATTCTGGAATCTGTGCTTGTTATTGGACCACGTGGACCTTCTTTGATGGCTACGCTCTTAAAATATCTCATTATCTTATTGTATATCTTAAGGACTTTTTACAAAAACAAACTTTATACAAAAAACATGGACTAACTTCGAATGTAGGAATGGATTCATTAACCACTGGGAAGTATGCAAAAATCGTCGTCTACCCCAGGAAATCCGTTTTTTGGCAAAAACGAACAAATGTTACCCCTAAAGTCATGTTGCAATGGCAGATTATTTTGAAGACTAAAACTATTTAAGTACATGAGTATGACGAAAGTATCAATCAGAACATCAACAAAACGCTGATTGTTAATAACACAATCTGGTATGTCTACCAAATTACCAATTCGATGGCATTTTGAATCAGTATACCCGGAAACAACATACACCAGGAAGCAATACATTTATGTATGGTTTAGGTAAATGCTTTGAATGACAGATTGGAGTGCTATTGATTGGCTCCAATGAAATCTTAATCCTTTATTTGACATTATATAATAATTTTTAATTGCCTTATTTGAAGTTACGGCAGGTTGTTATTGATGTCTCTTAGATTGTATCTCGAGTTCTTTTTTAGTAAATCTAATAAGAGATATGGATTTGATTTTTGAGCATTAATGAATTATTCTTGGGGTCGTTGGACGTAACGGTATCCTTCTTCCACAACTGGTGTGTTTACTTTATTGATCCTTTGAAAGTGGATTCGGAATTTTTTTCCATTTTTGAATATGGTTTGATTGTGATTGTAAAGATAATTAGGCTTTCACGTTATTGCTTCTTGGACCTTACTCCCGTTATATTTTTAACCTACTACTGTACTCTTGAACGGTAGGTGTATTTCGGAATGTATTTAACTGAACCTTCATTACAACGCTTTATTTTGCGTAAGACTGAAAATCTTCCAGATCCTTTCCTCGGTCAACGGCTTCTTAATACCGCAGTCAACTGCTTGAGCGTGAAGCGCAAAATTACAATTTTTTTACGTAGTACCACGTCGCAACTCACGCTTTTGCCAGAAATGTACGTTCTTAAGTGCATGTAATGAAATGTTTTTAATTAACAAATCTACTTCATCTGCGCGACATAACGCAGCAATACATTTCCAATTGACCTCGTTAATAGACATGTAAGTTTAGACGTGGCAATTAACACTGTTGTCAAATCGGTTTATTTTCCCGTAGTTTCCAATTCATATTGTTCTTAAAGATAGTAGTTTTCGTACTGTTCTTAAAAATATTAGTTTTGTACGTATTATTAAGCCGTGTCCAACAGCGTACGTTTCCTTTCATACAAAAACACTGGTCTAAGTGAAATGTTATTAAATGCGTCAGTGGCTATTGTTCGATGATCTCGATTATTGCGAGGAAAGTAGTGTGTGCAACCTTTGTGCTCTATATTCCATGATACTGACGCAGAAAAACTGTTTTGGCCACAATATCAGAATCGATTTTTGAGGTCAATTGGGACCTGTTATGCAACTGAAATTATCACTTATTTCAAGTGATTTCCTCCGGGTGGCAAAGAGGTGCAGTATGAGAAAAGAGCAAAACAATATTATACCCGTCAGACGTACGTGACAGCGTGCGGCAATTTTGCTTTATGAAATCCCATAATTTCCTATAAACACCCATAAACAATAATTGTAAGATAGATCAAATAATTTTCTGTTGAAAAACACGAATGCACATGCAAATAACTCATGCAAGCAAATGTTTTGAAGTCTTAAGTGGCAAGCTGAAGGACGTCACATTGGAAAACGGATCTAAAACCGCAACAACAAACAATTACCCTCTTGGCTTTTCGAGCACATGTACATTATTGGCGGCAAACCAGCGCTGAACAGGGATTTATCACCTTTACGTACGTGGTGGTATCAGCGAGAAGAAATTTCATATGAGTAAACATATGGGGTTTCTTTCTCTTCGAAAGAAAATGCCCTTAATGAAGATAAATCAAGCTACTTTCCTGTTGTCGTTTGACAGTATTTGGTCTACAAGTTTTGTGACTTCATATTTATACCATGTTCAACATTAACAGTGATATATCAATTTAAGATACTCATGATCAAAAGCTGGGCGTGTTGACTACAGATATGCAAATATATATTGATATTATTTATTGTGACGTGAATTCAGGGTTTAGCAAAATGAAAATGCCAGATTGACTCGAGTGCACACCCTTTCCCAAAACTTCCCACCGTCAGTTAATTTCTGGTACCTAACCCAATTCTCCCGCCATACAAAGCAGTTGAAAGATTAATTAAAAGTCAGATTTTCGTCACAAATTCAACTACCACCATATAGTTTCCGATAGAATAATTTATGAAAAGACCAAAGGACATAAGTTCATGTTACCCGTAAATAATACTTGAACGGATATTTTCTGCTGATTTTCTGTAGCGTAGGTAACAGGGGCACATAAGTGCGACAGATAATTAAGCACCGTAAGTCTATTTACAACCATACATTCAAAGATGGTGTATTTTTTCTCCTTTTTAGCTCTTTTATGGCTGATCGAATGATTAATGTGGTTTATCCTTTGGTATGTCAACTTTATTTGAGTCGTGGGAGAAACTAGTATAGAAGCGGTTTATACGCGTTACTGGAAATCCATGCTCGCTTTTTATGTATCTCTACTAGAGGGACATTACAATAAAAGGGGCCGTCACTGGCCAAATTTCGAACACCAAACTTGCATTTGTTCTTTACTTATACTTTCGCTCGAGTTAATAAGGAGACATAAATATAAGTTGTCTCAAAAGTAATGTGGCCAACAGAGTAAATTGCTATCTTATAAAGGCCTTTTTTATGGTTCTCAATGAAGAACTTATAAGTACTATTTAAACTCTTGCCTTCGCTTTTTTTTTTCATTGTAAAATATAACTAATACATGTTAAAGTAACCACTTCATGTACGGCTGAGAATTTGCATCACTTATGAAGCTTAAATTTCTTATCTCCGCGTTTGTGTATTTCTGTGTGTGTGTGTGTGTGTGTGTGTGTGTGTGTGTGTGTGTGTAAAAAAGCAAGAGGGAAAGACAGAAAAACCTAATGGATTAGAACTATAAAAGTAAAAATAAAATCATTAAAAAAACACTTACCTTATAGCGTCCCCCAGCGAATGCCGACAAAGGAGTTTTCTTGTAGAATAACAGTTTTTGACTGAAAAAATTCCCCAATTTCTCTCCGTGACAACTGTCGGTTCTATTGAACTAAAGATAAATTCCAAGTCTTTCGCCGTTTTATACCTACTGTCGCACGCAAGACGGCAGTTAAAGCAATCAGTTAACAACTGAGGGTCTGGCTTTGAGGGGCCTTTAATGAAACACCTGGATTATTAATGCGCTGTTTGTTTGTTCCAAATCTGATTGCTTCTTCAGTGAAAAGTAATAAGATGCAATTATTTCTTATCAACCACATATCGCACGTTCATCTTCCTCTTAATTGTAAACACTAAGTGTAAACCAAAAATATATGATATCGTTACGTTAAATAAATACACCATATCTCATTACTTTTGTTTCATTGTATCAATCCTATCTGTGAGTGTGATGACACTTCACGAAAACTACTCGTAGTCTAACCGAAAAAAAGAAGAAAAGAAAAGAATAAAGAAAGAACAAAAACAGTTGTGGTAAAGCAAGACATTATTACATGTATGAAGGTTTTTTTTTTGTGCGATAAAGATATTGGAATTTTTTATGAAAAATACAAATTTCTTTATTATTAACCTAAACGTACCTGTCAAATATCACTTGACAAGATCTTTACAGAAAGGCCCAATATCTCAAGTAAAAAATATCAAATATCCTTTGAGAGAGACTATGAATAAAATAACACAGTAGTACGATTGAAAGCATTCAGTAAATTTAGCAAAAGCAACCCGAGTCAAGTAGTCTGTTGACGGCGTGCAGAGATTCAGTTGAATCTGTATTGGTCAGTTTTGTCAGTAACATTTGACCGATGAGTCATTGGCCCTACACATATCAATTAACTGCTAATGACCGAGACAGATGGCCACTGTACAGCCCCTGGGGGTCGGCTTATTTAATGATTAAAGGCGCCTATATAATAGACGTATAGCAGAAGAATGAAAGGAGAAGCGACAGTTGGGTATATGTTAACGTACACTTTCGTTGTATTCAGACTTACCACCATTCTTTAGTGTATATTATATTATATTATATTATATTATATTATATTATATTATATTATATTATATTATATTACGACACACGTCTTTTTTTAACTTAAAGAGTAAAGACTAGCTCTCGTTGAACTTATCAAGGAACAAGCCATATGTTTTGATCGTTTTTAAACAAATAAATCCCATGAATTAACGTCGCCAACAATCATCTTATCTTAGGCTTCGTTCACATGCAATGTCTATTTTCTATTTTCTATTTTCGGTATGTCTTATGATCACGGTCTGTGCACTGAATATCCCGCCGCGTAATAACTGGCAGCGCGAGCCAGTTACTTATAGTAACTTATAGTAACTGGCTCGCGCTGCCAGTAATTACGC